TAAACGCTTCTTCCTGTGTCTAACACATAAAACACTTCTTCCTATATTTCACATAAAACGCGTCTTCCTGTGTCTAACACATAAAACACTTCCTCCTGTGTCTAACATATAAAACACTTCCTCCTGTGTCTAACATATAAAACACTTCTTCCTGTGTCTAACATATAAAACACTTCTTCCTATATCTCACATAAAACACTTCTTCCTGTGTATAACACATAAAACACTTCTTCCTATGTCTCTTATTACACTTTTTCCTGTGTCTCTCATAAACACTAAGGTTTACAAAAACATGCTTTTCTGTGCTGTTATCTTTCATTTAACTTATAAAGTAAACCGTTATACTTAACAATATCACATGTTTTGTTATTAAGGCTGCATATGTATCTTTTTCGGTGTTATAATGAGTAAACAATCTGTAGAGTAACACCAAATGTTGCCTCTATGGGAAGGTGTTACAAGAAATATTTTGCGCTACTCTCTTAGTCATTTCAAGTACTTTTTAAAAATGACCTGGTACAGAGTTACATCACTAAAGCTGTTTGGATCATCCTCAGGTTTGGCATGATCTTTGTAATTCCTAATTCCTATCGTCAACTCCTTTGTTATATATTAACACTCAGCTTTAACATGGGATATTTTGACACATGGTGTGCTGTTCATCTGCTATACTCTAAACTCAATGCCTAATCTGGTCCCAATATTTAACGTTTTCAGTTTCAGTTACCTAACACACTGGTTATGTCTTTCAGAAAGTTCTCGTCTTCGATATCTACTTCTCTTACTTCATGTCAAATGAACTGCGTATTACAATCGTCCATGGAAATTGATTTCATAACGTGTCACGTGTCTGTTTTTAAATAAATACCTAAATGGTTTCTAATCTTTGTTATTTGAGTAATCTGTTGTTTATTTAAGTATTTATCAATGCTTGTTTAAGATTTCCCCTTAACCCCTTCAATGATTATCTACATTCTTTCAAAAATTTACACGAGGCAGAACAAATGCAATGGCATGAACATGTAGAAATGTTTCTTTAATCCTTTTTCTAAATTCGTCATATTTTACAATTGTCCTTGAAATGTTGTTGTGGCGAGCTTGTACAAGTAGGTCAGGTCAGAGATAATAGTGGCACACCAAATAAAGAATAAATTTTCTTATAGATTTGCTGCCCATACATTAATAGGATCTTACGTGAGTTCCCATTTGATTAGAATAAAACATTGTGACGAGCTTCATTGATTCAAGATCCTCTGTATCAATCGATGAAGGCAAAAACATTGCAGTCTGTGCGTGTGCAGAAAACCATATCAAAACAATCATAATCCAAACTCAAATTCAATATTACACGAGACTCCTGAAAGATGTAAGGATACTAAGACAAGGTGTTCCGGAAGAGTAACCGTCTTCTGCTCCATCGACGACAACCGACACGTAAATCTGGGTTACTCCGAGAAAGTAATGTCTCGTTCCCAAATAAGTGCAGGGTAAATAAACATTTAAGCAACAAGTATACTATTGTGTATCAAACACGCCCAACTCCATATCGGGTAATGATATCGCTATGACTTCCCATCATTTTCATCAACTTGCATCTCTTGAAGCCCTGTGTTGTGAGTTTTCTGTCATTCCATAACCTAAACCTAACATCACAGTCTTAAGATTTTGTCTCATGGATGATGAAGCATTGTGGGAATGATAGACACTTTTAAGCAAGTAAAAACTAATTGTAATATAATGATAAAAATATTTTACCGATGTATTTACCTACATATCTCTAGAGCGGTGCTTATAGAGAATGACAAAAGCCCATCCTCGATACTCTAGATGTTACGACCACTTTCGCTCTCTGCACCCCTGGAACATGTCATGACAAAATTGAAGTCAAAGGCGAAGTAATTTTATTGGTCCAAGGAGAAAAAAGCTGATCAGTCACAGGCTGATCCTCTCCTTTTGAAGAGTACAAAGGAGCGACTCCAGGCTTCAAAGCCATTACAATATACTGTTATGCGACCTCGAGATTCGTTTGATGTACATCAAGGGAACAAACTAGTTTTTTTAAGTCTTGTCCATACGTGTCGCACACGAAACCTTCAACTTTGCCATGTCACGTGCCAGGGATGTAGAGAGCGAAAGTGATTGTAACCCATGAAGTATCGAAGAAGCCAAAAGCAAGGCTTTTGATTCCCATTACTAAAGACACAAACTAACCAAATTATGAACAACATTCCGTCAGATAAACTTACCTTGGAGTGGTTTATTTGAAAAATTTAGCGAAATGGTATTTGATAAAGTGATATCCTTTCGTTTTAACATTAAAAACCGTTTTATTAACAGTAGGATAGAGCTTTGAGTAGTTAAAAATAGTCATTAGACTAAATAGTAAGACTCAGCAAATCAAATCATATTTAGGTCAAGTATTATTCTCTATTATTGTTGAGGCAGATGCGTATGGTTGGAAGAGGATTACCGTAAAACAATCAAAAGGATGAAAAATGGTAAATGGAAATGTAACTTCGGAAAACACAGATAATTTTGTAATCATTCCAATTATAGAACGTGTTTAAGAAGAAAAGAGAGAGAAAGGTGATCTCTGGTCCGCCCGACGAAAATGGCGAACTATGTTTCCCATACAATGCACGTGTCAATATTTCGTGTTAGGATGCAGTTTTATTGACTTTTATTGTTACTTATAATCTATGTATATTTATAAAATGCATGCAACTCAAACAGTAATTTTGATATGAAATTAGTTGTTATATTTTGATTACCTCCCTTGTCATATATTTATATCGGAAAACTAGATACGCAACATATCTTTTTCCATTTTTTTTATTAAATCCCTGTAATGCTATCACAAATGTATAACTACAGCTTCTGTCAATTTTTGGGCGTCGATGTATGTTTGAAGAAAATTTTCGACGGTTACAGGAACGTGACATTTAAATATGGATATTATACTCAATATATATAAGACCTTACAGGAATTTATGTTATTTATGAAACGCATCCAAGAAGGTTGAATAAGTGAGCTAAAATGAAACGCGTTTCATAAATTACTTACGATCAATTGTTTTAGTAATTACTGCATACAACGTACTTTTCAACTGTACATTTGTCTTCTCAACTCGTTATCTTAAGTTTTCATTTTGATGCGAATGAGTGACGTCATTCCAATGCCTAATTGAAACGTTACAAAGAGACGATATCAACATGCTTTATTATTTTAAAAAACAACTAACAATTTGGTCTTGATATTTCGAACGTTATCAACAACCATAATACAATACGGGGGAAATAAATCACAGTAAAGTTAGACAAGTTTTAAAAAATTGGGACACATCGATAGAAATGTTCATTATCTCTCGGTAGAAATGTGGTAGCTTCTCATCTAAGTTGCATCTCGAAGGAAATTTTCAAAATCTGCACCTCCTTGTTCGCAGAAATTTCCAGAATCCGTACAAGACATTTTTATAAGTGAAATATTGTAAACTATTTGATCGATTTCACGGCAGTTTATTTTGCATTGACAGAGTCAATGCCGTCTGTTATGTTAAGCAAATGTTCCAGATCAATATATATTTATAGAAACACCAGGTTAAACATACTCTTGAAGCATGCTATAAACTTTTCATGCTTTGTAACATTTTGTCCTTTCTTGCCGATAGAAAAAACGAAATTACAATAAGAATGATAAATCATAAGAAATTTGTCAAAATAAGCAGAAATTATGCTTGATACAATTTCATCATGAAGATTCGAATGCATGGGAAAAATCATAGCTAACGAACATGCCCTCTACTCATACATTTCCTCGTGTAAGTATACAGTTTACGATGTAAAGATGCTGGAAAATTGTACTTTTAAAATTTTGAGTCCCTAAGAACAAAGTTGGGACACCGTTAATATTTGGGTGGGAAATTCTACTCCCTTCACAAACCGCATTGTAGCTAATTAAGAGTATATTCGTTTTACTAATGTATGTTTTGATTTGTTAACGTAATGATAACTGTAACAAAGCTACACCACGGTGAGGGACTGTTTCTACTCATACTTAATATTCTCCACGCATGTATAACTACACAATGAACTCATAGCAACGTAGTCTCAGGCTATGAAATATCCATTATACCTTTTATAACTTATTGAGTTGTGTTTGAATTAAAAAAAAACACGATTCCTAATACTCACCTCTAGCATGACGTTAACACTGACAAGCATGAACAACCTTGTCAAGTATCGGTTTCGAGATAATGCATCTAAGCAATTTATTAAGCATCACGAAGATTCAGAGATGAAAGCTAATGCTTCATTCAACGTGTTGTCTGCTTTGACATACTTAAGGTGTCATGTCACATTTTAAATCTGATAAGCATATTTACATGTATATTTATGTTACATTAAAGTTATGCTTTATCACATACAGCTACTGACATATGAATCATTTCTGTAGTCAAGATGCTGTTTTTTCATGGCTAGAGGTTATCCCGAATCGAACGATGAAATCCGAAGTTTTTTCTGTACGGTAGGCAGTTAATGAAACGAAGTTCATGTAAGTGCAATTTTCACTAATTGTCCGCTGTGTACACTTTATGTCTTCTTTAGAATGATACATAGAAGAGTTCTGTATAAATCAGCAGGATGCTACGTATAGTGGCTTATAGAAAATGATGTAGTGTTGTTGCCAAGTGTAATATCATAACTATCAGCATCAAGGATATACAAGGGTTTGGAATCGGACACAGGTTTGTTTTCTATTTTCGCTGATTATTTTCACAATCTAATGGCGTCCTGATTGATATAAAAACAAATGTATTTGTGACCCATGAGGCAGAATATATTCTGAATATATACTTAAGTAGTTCAATTTTTCAGTGTCCAGCAAAGAGATTGATAATTAAGACTTCTGTATCCAGTCTGCTTCAAGCATTTGACAAAACCGTATAAATTGAAAAAAGGAAAACCTGCATTGTTAATCACTTAATCTCACTAAAGATCTTCTACGGATTTGAGGGTTCCACATAGCTTTCCATAAAATCGTCCTCAAAATAGCCATCAAAATCTAATTGACTGCCTGCCAAAGTCTTATTTTTGTACACTGTGTTGAACTTTTGTTTCTGCTCCGTCGTAAAAAGGGTTTTCCAGTCTCCAACTGTCCCTAAAAATGAAAACGTCACGAAACTTTATTTTGCAATAAAAAAAATATGGAGCAATACGTTAAGAGACAAATTGAGTCAAATGTAAGAACACCAAGGCAATAAATATCGTGCAATTGGTATCAAAGTGAAGGTTACTGCAAAATTTGCGTGCTTGTGAATAAAGCTGTCGATTCAATTCCAAATGGTATTGCTCAAAATATCCAACTTTGACAATTTTTCATGAATTATTATGGTAATGCATCTGTATTTTTTCACTTTCCATTTCTATTTTGAGTTTGTTTGACTTTCCTACTAAACATGTACCTTTGGGTTTCTGTTATAACAATTGTGTTAATGAAAGGTGCTATTTATTTGTTTGTTTTCTATCAATCATTTGCTTACGGTTTTAACAGGGATACTGCAAATGTGCAAATGTTATTGATGTTAAAGACATAGTAGTAATTATTCATGGGTCTGTCATGTATTTATGTTACCGCCCTACCGACTTCACGACCAAGTTATTAATAAACGGCACAAGATCCTCGACTGGAAAACAAAAACATAAATACTTTTACAGACGATTTTGGCCGATGTTCCTTTTAATTCCCTTATCGAACATACATTGCATCCCTTTAATCTTAGTGGTATTGCAAATGGCGATGACGAAGTACGTGTACAAGGATGTGGACCTACAGGATTTTTATGACAATGTCCCTCTACAATGTCGCTTTTTACATACCTTTTCGAATTACTGTGTTGTGTCCACCTCTGTTCCTGTTGACATCTTCTATTGTGGCGGTTTCCAAATCCTGAACTGCATCTTTTATCCTTTTCATCATATTTGATTTTGTTCGTGTTTTTGCTAACTTCATGTTGTTGAACTTGCATGCATGTGTGATATCCTCTATCAAGTCGTCGGAGTAGGACAAACCGAGATATTCAGAGATTCTGCGCACTTGCCCTTCCAAATTCTGCCATAAAAAAGCTTGAATTTTACAATGCTAGTGGGATTTCTACTACTACTACTGCTGCTGCTACTACCATCGCCATCACTACCACAACCACTGTTACTTCCACCACCTACCACAAATGCTGCTGCTACTTCATCTGCTACCGCTGTTGCTGTTGATGCTGATGCTACCACCACACAACAACTACCACAACCGTCACTTCTACTAACTCCGCCGCCGCTGCCGCCGTCGCCGCTACTGCTACCATTGCTACAACCACTACTACTACTTCACTACTAGTACCATCGTCGCCCCCGCCGCCGCCACCGCGAACATCACGACCACCACCACTTCTGCTGCTGCTACTATTACCACCACCACCACCACCACCACCACCACCTGTACTATTACTACTACTTCTACTACCACCGCCGCCGCCAACACCACTACCACCACCACTACTACCAATACCATCGTCGCCGCTACCGCCACCACTTCTGCTGCTGCAGCTACAACTACCACTACCTACACTAAACCTCTACTGCACACAAGACTAATGGAGATATATATATGCATTTTTAATTTTTCCATGTTTAAGAAGATCCCTCTTTTATCCTAATTTTGTATCCGAATACGGACATGCATTTCAATAATTTATCTCAACCTCTCTCTCAATTGAAAAAACGTTACTATCCATTTAACTTCAATATTCATGATTTATAAATAAAAGCATAGCAATTCATGTCAGATAAATATCGTCATAAAACGTATGTTTATAGATGGTTGGATATGTTATGTTACCCTGCTTGTATCCTCGTAGGTAATTGTGAGAGGTGGATGTTCTCTTTGTTGTTCTAACATTCTCCCCCACTGGTCTCTCCATGCAAACCAACAGCCGTATGGAGCTGAACAAAAAGTAAGCATTTGTTATAAAGTATTGATATCGTAAACAATTATTATTATACAACAAATCTTGATTGGGCAAACTATTCAGCGACTGTTTTAGCATTCAGCTCTGTAATACTTATCGAAAGTTTGACAACGAGATTGTCATTATATCAATCCAATGTCTCGTTATTACCAATGAATCATACGCAGTTTAAAAGTTGAAAATACTATTACTCCGCTTAATATACAGTAAACCTTGTAGTAGTTTTGTTTGTAACCAAACCACACACAAATATTATCATAAATGCATAATCTAATTAAGTAGTGTAGTCCTGACAAAATGGTGAACATTAGAAATTCAGATCAAACTCCTGGTGTTATCCATAAACTGTTTATGGACTTTCATTTATACAGCTACTATATACGCATTAGACCAGGCATTTTAAGAGAAGCTACAGTAAAATCATAAATTTTTGGCGGTTTTCACCTAAAAATACTATATTTGGTTACTTGATTCCGTAGTTTCCATGTGATTATACAAAAACAATATAAACTAATGATAACGAATAAACAGCTTTAGACAATTTCAAATGCAATAGTTATATCGTTAATATTCATTTATTACAATAGGAATTTAGCAATCTTTTTTCAAGACATCCCAGTGAACAGCACCCGTGATAATTAATTACCAATTAGGTATAGTAAAGCCAAATCAGGAATTTTCGTTCCCGAATATAAATGTAGTTAGTTCCACAATATAAGACAATATATCATGAACGCTTTCGTTATTGATAAAGTTAATACTTATAATGTTTCATTTTTTCTAAGACTTAACAGTGATCTAGGTATGTTAAAAGAACGACGGGTGCACGTACATTGTTATGAACTGAGTCATTGTTTAAATAAGTTAATGGTAAAGTTTACGGTATTTTGGCTAAATCTTGGAATAAACAACCATTGAATTCGTGGAATGAACTCCCTTTTTGATTTTGTCAGTCATAATGTAAGTTTGTATAAAAATAAATAATTTCACACTTACTTCACAGAACAACTTTAGATCAGACATAATGATCTCTTTTTTTGTCAAGTCGGTGGTGAAACAGACCACCATACAAATTGGGATATGTAAGAGCCCACATTATCATGAGGTTTACTGAATTTATTAAAATACATCTCAATCCGTAGCAGTATGACTTATTACAGCGAAATATATTGTAGTTACAGTTTACATATTCAAATGAATAAGTTTGTAGATTGATTAAAATCAATTATATCTATTGATTACCCACCATTTCCTTCCAATAAAACATTGAAGTAAGTATCCCACTCCACTTCAAATGCAACGTTATTGAAGTAATGGAAAGCTGACGCCATAACATCCTTCGGATTACGGACACAACCGATTACTTTTCCATTTCTCGCTAAATGATCTCGAGGCAAATACTGAAATGGCATATGAGAATAGAAAATCCTTGGTGACGCCTCCTTCTCTATTGTATCCATGTCCAAAAGTTCGATAGGAAAGTCGATGTTGTCGTCGATGATATATTCCGCTCTGCCTTTCATCAACATGAAGACAATTTCTCGTAGCCAATGCGTTCCTGTGTAAAAATGTAATTTACGATTAATGTATAAAATCGATGGGAAAATGAATTCCACATTAATGGGTACTAATACAATTAACAAGATATATAGGGAACACGACTGTAGAAATTTTACCATAGAACGGAAAATAAACAACCAAACAAAATAAATAAAAAGTTAAATGTCTTTCAAATTGTACTAACCCATTGATAACGAATTCTGATAGATAAGATCATACAAATTTGCATTTACTATGAACCTGACATTTATTCTTCTCGAATTTGTTAGTCTTTTAAACGTCTAGTTGTCTCAATATTAACGAAACAGCTAACTGTCATTTTACATAATTTATAAACATAAATTTTAAACATATTATTGGAATTCTGCACATTTGCATGACGGTAATGACAAAGGTTTGTCAAGGGACACTTGTTAAATTTGAAGTGTCAAACTGGGCCCTTTTGCATACGTTTTACTTTAACTACTACGTCACTAACGAATACATCCCCCGCCCTACACAACGTGTATACATTGGGCACAATTAAAGAAGGAAGATTCGTGCCCCTGTCCAAACTCATATCTATATATGTATATATACATGATATGTATCATCCAATGTATACATATCTTTGAAAGCAGGTCAATTTTCACTAGTTTTGACACATAATAGCGAATTATTTCAAGGTATTTCAAATGTTACCCTTGCCATAGTAAAACATGTTAAATCTTTCATCGTTGTTACACATTCTATCAAATCAAGATATAATTTAAATCTTTGCATTAACGATACAGAAAAAAATATTCGTTTGAATGATTCTTTTGTATCTTATCCAAACGTTCATGTACCGAGATGATTTAATTGCCTTAACAATGATGCATATAAACATCACATTAGCATATCCTAGATTACTAAATAGAATTACTAACCTTTACAGAATATTTAAAAGCATACATACGTAAACTATACATCCATTATTGTAGTTCACGTAGCGTACATTTAAGTAAAACTGAGTTTACTTTTACATGTATTTCTGCTAGATACTCCGTTTCCATTACGTAAAATTTCACTCTGGTTAGTATTCTCCGGTGTTTCTTTTTGACTACCCCAAAATCATTGCTATAACTCCTGTGATATCCCAGTATCTATAGCATCACAAAATTCCATTATAACGTCACAACTGTTGGTAATATTCCTGAATGTTTTAACTAGTATGACAGTACACAATTACTTGGCATTTCAATAGATTAAAAAAAATTACATCACGTTTTGGAAACATTTTAAGAAAGCAGTCACATTTTTTACATTTTGGATATTAACATTTTTTTCTTAAACCGACATTTCTTAAATTTCATATGAAACGGAAACTCAAGATATTTTATATCTTAACTTTTCTATGCAATGTAATGTTTTATTTTGTAGTCCTACTGTTTTAGTAATTAATGTTAACATTTTACAAACTTACCACTTCTAGGGTAGGACATAATGAAAACATCATCATGACGGTATGCCATGTTCCTGATCTTCTCTAAGTGGTCAGCCACATTTCCAGGACAAATATCTGGGAATTTATTTCCCTCAAACACCTTATGCGACAGTGTTTTATCTCCAACAGGTATACGTAGAATTTCCATGTTGTGTTGGTGATAGGCGATCCACTCTCTGATATATACAGGTTGATGGACTTGCAGTATATTACCCCTCTGTCTTCGTACTATATGTGGTCTGTGAGCTTTGAGAAATGTAAAAGAATAAAACAGAAGCTTGGTACGATGATGTTGATAAAATGCTCATTTACATGCAAATGTGCCTCCGTGAAATCAAATTGTCACTGTATACTTTGATTTATATTTATCACCATTATTTCTGAAACTGAAAAGGTGATCGAATGGACAAAACTGTATATAAAGTCACAGTTTCACAAGTGCATCACTACCCGATAGTGGGATGTTATCTTCAGAACGATGACCCCTTATTCATCAAATGAAAAAATCAAAACGTTAACCTCAAGCTCACAGATCATTCACCTCAATGTAAAATTTTGTTTCAGCGGACGATACTATTCTTAAGAGTGATAACGATTTCAAATATGTAAATCGTACTTACATACATATCCCATTTACATCACTGTGGTATTCAAACATCTGTGTCACTAGCCGACAGGTAAAGTAGACAGACATAGCATATTCCACACAAGGTGAAAGCATTGTTAACTTAATATCAAAATTGCACATTTTGTAGATTCTAAGGGTTTCTTTCGTAACAAGTTTTGCAAAACATCCTGTTTGGCAAGATTTCTTATTTTCAAATAAATGGAAAGCATGAGAATAAGGGTGCGCTGAAAATTACACAATAAACGTTTTATTTGAAATAACAAATTAGGATGTCTGCATGACACGTTAATGTTCAAATACAGGTCAGTATGTGTATGCCTCAACATATGAGATGATGTTCAGTATATTAAGTATCAGCCTGCGGTTGACAGGTGGTAACTGCATTGACAGGTCTTCATGACCATTGTAAGTGTGTTATGGTAAACCAGTGTGTTAGATTAGCTAGAAGGTGACTTTGTGACGTCAATATATATGCGTCTTTGTGAGAGTATCGGTTGACAGTAAACCCATTATGTATGGTTATGTATGAATCACTCTAAAAATTCACCCCATGTTTACAATTTACAGGATTCCATCCAGAAGCGCTTCGTCTTTGCTTTTGGTTGAATTTTACATTGGAATTCAAAATTTAATTAACGATCAAACTGAAATCAATAGCGGTTTTACCATTTAAACTGCGAAACTTTACATTTTCTTCATAATGAGTTATCAGATTTGAAAGTAAATAAACTATGGAAAATCATTTTATCCTGTCAATTTTTAGTTTTAACTATGTTTTTCTTAATACTTTCAAAACTTATATGCCATATGAATTCAAAACTTCAAAGAGACACCAATGATGATTATAATCAGAGTAATTCAATGACTTGTTAAAATACTGACTCCCTGAACATTAACGTTAAATACGTGAAATATGTCATTCCGAATCTGCTTAGATTTAATGTTAATTCTCAATAACAGCAAAATGGTGTTGTTTGCACTCGTATCAACATTGGATAATTATTGACAAGTTTAAAACAATATCTCATTCAATATTCAACAATATTACACATATAAATATTACAAACGGGAGACTGAAGACCAATGTGCCATTTATTGGTGTGTCTTTTATATATTTGTTTTAGGATTGCAGATGGTAGGCATTGCTGTGAACGTTTAGTCCCCAATGTTAGCCATAACCTGTATGCGACACTATAATTCTTTCAAATAGTGGAACAATTCAGATTTAACACAAACATTTAACATTCTTCTAAATTTGTAAGATATATGAAAATTACAAAATATAATAGAACTATAAGTGCACATCCCTAGATAGATTTTGAACATATACTTTTGTTTCGTCCATGTAAATTTTGACAGCAATGCTAAGGGACACCAGCTTTGATCAGAGGAGGTGGATGAGGAAAATCAGAATCTAGTGACAACGAGGACGGTGTATTTTTAGCAATATCCTAATGCATTTGAACATAAAGCAGGTGTAAAACCACCTACGTGATACAAAATAACTTCACAAATAAGGGTGGACGTCAACATTTAAACAGCTGTTAGGTGTCTCCTTACCTGTATGACAACAAATCGGCGTGTGCTGAAGTACTAACTACTAGACACATTTGATGGAAAGTACTCTTCTGTAATGCAGGAAGTAAACGCTGAAAAGATATTGGGAGTAAACAAGAATTTGTTGCGGTTAAAAGCGTTCTAAGTTCGTAGCAGTTTTACCTTAACACTCATAACACCACTGCACTGTTCCCATAGTGTGTAAACTGTGGGTACATGTGCAACGTGATATCGTATGTCAAGACCAGCTAAGCGTGCAGTAGTGACTGGTACCAATGACAATGACATAATCAGTTAAGTCTATATTTATCATGATCTTTGATATCTGTAACTTAACCCCTTTTCTGATAGGTTGAGAGAAGAATAACCAAGACTACGAAATGAATGCCCTGACCTATTTTTTGAAACATGGACGGTCATGTAACTAAAGAAGTTTTTGCATGCATGAATCAGCAACCTTTGAAGTGCAGTCGAATTAGGGTCAAAAATAATGCACCTACTTCTATAATAGAAAACCTCTCTGTATAAAGAATGTCATTTTCTGTTTGATTGAAACTTCGTAAGTGTTCTTGAATAAAACCCAGTGAAAACCCATTAACCCATGAAGACTGTAAAAAATGTTTATCGGATAAAAAAAAGCTAAGTCGTATATCTGAGAAAGAACGCACGCATCTAAATAGGGTTAAATTATAATCCAAAAAAGGTCGTTATAATGTAGGTCAGTGTCTTTTAATTTCACATTCTGTTATGACAGTTACATAAATCACACGTTATCTTACTACATGCCGTAATGCCTTTACATAGTACAACAGCTTATGCCATCCCGCTGCAATAATACATAACATCCGCGTCGGATTTTAACAGATTAATTTCGGTAACACGAGACACGAAGTCGTATTAAATTATAAGGAAAGTAATGCTCATCCAGTTAACGCCCCAATAATAGTACACAATGCTGTAAATTGTGCATTACATTTAGATGCTCGCTGACTTCCTGCTAACCACACACGCTGTTTCCTACGTGCTCAATCATAACCTGTATGTTTTAAGACCTCTCTATGTCTGTAAATCTGTTTTGTATGGAATGTTACCTTTGTGTTCTTAAAACTATGTCAGTTTAATTTTACCTCGCTCCCATATACAGATACTAATGGTGTGAATGATTTACATTCAAGAAACTACGAATAATTTTGTCATAATGAAGATACAAATATTTAAATGGGATAAGTAATTCAAATTTATACATGACTATGACTTAATAGATTTATGATTGAGAAGAGTTTTGCATTCAGTCAAATTCAGCTCTACAATTATTTTTATTTCGTGTTCATTGTTATATTTTTATTTTAAAGTCTTAACCAATGATTTCAATATAGATCTGATTTTTCTACAGGCATATTTAAATCGTAATCTTTACCATCAATTCTTCAGCTATAACTCCAGTTCTACTTCAGAATCAGCATAAAATGAAATGCTTTTTCATTTGCTACAATTTGGACATCCATATTATATTAAGATTAAAATTATGTATATAATGTGTTCTGTTCTAGCACGTTTAGGCCATCAGCGCCAAAGAGTCGGCATTCTCGTTCACGGTTATTATTTAACTTGGACATCTGCACTGGTGAACAGGTAACATAGACCGAAAAAGTACGAGTGCACCTAATTAAACATTCGCACCGACACATCAAGTTTCATTGTTGAGTTGTAACCAAAAACAGCATTATTTTTACTTTATTATTGATTATTGTTAACTATTTCGGTCTTTAGATGGGTTGAACTGGAAGAGCCATAGGTCTGACCAATTTTGGTGGCTATTTTTTCTGTTCAAGATCATCATCTTCAGTATTTGCATATACATTAGGTACATTATCGGCAAATAATTTGCTAATTGCATTATGTTTTCAATTTCAAATAAATAGTGTCGAGCTCAAAGTCGAGTCCTTGAGTATCCCCTCCTTTTCATTGGCCATTCTGAACATCGAGTCCTTGAGTATCCCCTCCTTTTCATTGGCCATTCTGAACATCGAGTCCTTGAGTATCCCCTCCTTTTCATTGGCCATTCTGAACATCGAGTCCTTGAGTATCCCCTCCTTTTCATTGGCCATTCTGAACATTTACCATGTTTGACAGCTTTCTGTTCATGGCTTTGTAAACAAGTTTTGCATACCGCTGTAAACGTTTATCATTTCATCCAAATTAAGATATATTTGCAATAGTACATTGACATGTAAAATTATATCGAACCTCTTGCTAATGTCACGAAACAATACGCGATTTCATTCCTTTAAATACCGACAGGAAGCTTAAGATTCTAAATACACCAAAAGCATAAACCTGTTCCACATCATTGGAATATAAGGTATGACCAGGAATGCCTGGATATAAGCACCGAGAATAGCATTTCAGCAAGTTGACTTTTACTTCCTTGAGAAACAATCAGTATACTGATGAAAACATCAATTGTCTTGAGAGTTACATCATAAATAAACTACTACACTGAACTCGATATTATATTAATGACTTTTTTACTATTGGCAAAGTATCAGGGCCTGGGAGATCAAATCAAAAGGAAATAAATATATTTTTATCAAAGATAAAATGACTATGTATTGTCTGCAAGACACTCGCTTTACAGCAGAACAGGAGAATATTATTAAGAATGAGTGTGGTTACCAAGGTTACTTTAGTTCTTATATATACAACTCACATGTTGTGGCCATCCTTTTGAATAATTACTTTGAAGTGTATGAAAAAAATAAAACAAGAAAATGCCAACATGACAATTAATCATAATCCAAACTGAAATTCAATAAAACTGAGGCAAAATAAGAACAAAAGATATGTTGACAATGAGACTCCTGAAAATGTACAAGGTGTATAAGATAATGTGTTCCGGAAAAGTAAGCGTCTCTTGCTTCGAAGACACACGCCATGTAAACCTTGGTTAATCCAAGTGAGTGATGTCATGTTCTTACACAAGAACAAGGCATACAAAAACGGAATCAACGGGCAAACTGACGAGCATTAAACACCGCCAGCTTCGTGTCGCTAAAAAAAATAAAATGTGTGAGGTCACTGAGACGACCTTTAAACGTTCCCATAGGAAAGAAAAGATAGATATATATGTGAACCGTCTTGCACTTGACATAGATATTGATGGGTCTAGGCTAACTTTAATTGCTATATATGGTCCGAAACAGGATTGTGCAGAGTTTTATTCATACGTACATAGACAGAGTTGGAAATGAAAAATGTAATAGCTTATGGGGATTTCAATCTAGTTTTAGGCTCTTTGGAAGATTATAATGGTAGTTATAGGCACATAAACATCACTGTAGCTAGCGATAAAGTACACAAAATGATTTAATGTAATGCTCGTACAGATGTATATAGGCAACACCTCCCAGACTCTATGCGATATACATAACGATGGACTAATCCTGTTAAACAGGCAAGACAGGATAACTTTCTCATCTCAGAATCTCTTTTTGTCTTCTGTAAATAAGTTTGCAATTGAACCATAATGTAGACCACTCTCCTCCACTGTTCACTCTATATTTGAATGACTTGAGGAAAGGGAAGGGAAATAAATAATGTAACTCTTTATTGTTTGTTTCCAAATATCATGATTTTGTTACAAAATGTATTGAAGACGTGAAGGTGCAATATTGTCTGCCTGTATAAAATATTGATTCAGTTAAATATCCTGGCAGTGACTTTTTTAGATAAATTATCAACTCCTCTTAGAAATGATAATAATGGCAATAAAAAGTCTGTCTGTATGCTTCTTACAAAAAAGATGCTGAGTGATAAGAGAGAGGAAAATCTCACCACATATTCATTGTGATATCTGTATGAAAATGACATACTGAGGTGACTGATGTCATCATATTGATAGTGATATCTGTATGACAATGACGTACTGAGGTGACTGATGTCATCATATTGATAGTGATATCTGTATGAAAATGACGTACTGAGGTGACTGATGTCATCATATTGATAGTGATATCTGTATGAAAATGACGTACTGAGGTGACTGATGTCATCATATTGATAGCGATATCTGTATGACAATGACGTACTGAGGTGACTGATGTCATCATATTGATAGTGATATCTGTATGAAAATGACGTACTGAGGTGACTGATGTCATCATATTGATAGTGATATCTGTATGAAAATGACGTACTGAGGTGACTGATGTCATCATATTGATAGTGATATCTGTATGATAATGACGTACTGAGGTGACTGATGTCATCATATTGATAGTGATATCTGTATGATAATGACGTACCGAGGTGACTGATGTCATCATATTGATAGTGATATCTGTATGATAATGACGTACCGAGGTGACTGATGTCATCATATTGATAGTGATATCTGTATGATAATGACGTACCGAGGTGACTGATGTCATCATATTGATAGTGATATCTGTATGGTAATGACGTACCGAGGTGACTGATGTCATCATATTGATAGTGATATCTGTATGATAATGACGTACCGAGGTGACTGATGTCATCATATTGATAGTGATATTTGTATGATAATGACGTACTGAGGTGACTGATGTCATCATATTGATAGTGATATCTGTATGATAATGACGTACCGAGGTGACTGATGTCATCATATTGATAGTGGTATCTGTATGATAATGACGTACTGAGGTGACTGATGTCATCATATTGATAGTGATATCTGTATGATAATGACGTACTGAGGTGACTGATGTCATCATATTGATATATTAACGTCATGTTTATAATAAAATCACAATCACAAATAAATAGCTGTACGAGTATGAACGTGTGGTTTTGAAGTGTAATGCCTTGATATCTTAAAATGACAAATTAAAAAAAAATTAAATGTGAAAAACATCTTGTTATTTTCAAAGTAAGATTTTTTCACATTTAAAGTGGAAGAAGGGTGATGTAAAACAAAAAAAAAACCCTTATGTTTATTGTTTTTCCTTTCCGATAAATATCAAGTGATTAAATGGACATCGTTTTTGCTGTTCCGTCAACCTCATATAACTTAATTGCTTACAGAGACATGGACTTTGATAAACTGCAGGTCTGTATCTAATTCGACTATTATCATATTTGTGTTACAGGAAAGAGAATAGTGTACTTCAACCACATGGGATCAAACCCGTGACCTCCAGGTCTCTCGTCGGACGTTTTACAACTGAGCTAAAGGGAAATTTCCTCTAGTGGGAAACTAGAAGTCTACCATATACCATTAAATTCTGTCACATTTCATTGAATAAACCAATGCATATTTTCAGACACCTACGATGGTGGATCCCTCTGATATCAAATGAATTTATGATTTTTTTTTTCACTTTGGATTTTCTTCAATCGCCTCAAGTTTTAACATTTGGTCCCTTCGCATCCCAGAAGGACGAAACAGCTGTATAGTGAAATTTAATCAATTGTTTGACTCGACTGTTTCTTATTTGAATTTGTATTTATTCAGTTGTGTGTCTTTTGTGCAAACTTCTTATAAAATTAATAAGATATCTTTGTAATACTTCTTTATTATTGGATCAAAATTTCTTTACGAATTAATGGCAACTTTGCTTGCTATACGCGGTAGTTTGTAGTCTGTTCTGAGTCAACACGGATTAATGAAACCGTTAGCGTATTTTAATACTACACACGCCTAGACGCGCTTGCAGTCTTTAGAATGTTTGAGCTGGCGAGTCGTATACTCAAGCGTTATAGTAACTGTGTTTATTATTTAAAATGGCCGATTTGGATGCGAAGAAAGGAATATCGGAATCGGATTTAAACGGCTCTCTATTACACCAAAACCCCCGCGTTTCCATTCAGATGCCGTACCAAGATTCGCATAAAGATGAAGAAACAAAAGACAGAAATATTAGCTCCGATATACTGCCGGATATTGGCGAACACTACTTAGTCCAACGATCCGATGGAACATGGCGTATGCACTTTATTTATTTTTATACAGTATGTCGTTAGTATGAATGATTTAGATTAGTCAGTCAGTCACGCACGAGAATTTTACAAATTTTACAGACATTGCGATGGAAAAATTGGATTTTCGATCAGAAACGATACGTCTATTGCCATATTTAATGCCTGTTATCGATTACGTGTATACATTTAAAAGTATGTGATCCGATCTGTTTCATTTTATATGATATTTGATGCCTATATATTCTCATTAATTGTGACATCATACAGCACGGTCTGATTTTATGGTTATCATTACTTATATCTATTGGCAGAACGCATTCTTGTGTCTGCACTGGTAGGACAGTATAAATATAAGTAGTAGCATTGATCTGTTGAACTGTCTTAATTTTATCGCGTCTTTGGTAGTTAAAATGGCAGAGGTTTGCCAGGCAAAGCACTCTGAAGTTTTCATTTTTTTCATTTCATTTTCAGATGCTGCAGAGATTATTCAGACTCGTGCCAATGAACAGACTGGTGGGAAGCATGAATTTTATGTCCACTATGAAGGATGTAAGGAGCAGAGTTTGATATATTTAATGACAATTATTCAAAGTTTTTAAGTCCATGTATCATGTATGATATATACCTCTTCAGGTGATTCCAGAATGACCTTTCTTGAGAGAAAATATACTTTATAAACCTGATATTCTGAGTATATGTGCATCTTGTTAATTCTGGTAAACTTAATGATCAAGATAAAATTTTAGAAAATTAGAAAGAAACCTAGATTTTCTGATATGTTTTGTTTCTTCTTAGTGGTTCAGGTTTTCTTCTGTGATATTCAGTCGTGTATCAAGGTACAATGTCACTAATTTCGTTTACACTGTACTGTTAAAAATACACTTGCCTTCAAATGATGACAAACAGACTAAAAAGTTATCTTAAGAAATATTGTAAATGCATCTGTTCAATATTTCACAAAACAGCTAAGGATTTTACTGAAGTTAATGCTGTTAAAGTTAATGGAAACAGACATCTTTCTATATAAGGCTGCTTCAAGTATAAACACATTTATTTTTGTTTTATTTTTGTTTGTTTGTAAATCAGTAGAAATGTCAATTATAATCAGTTATTAGTTATATGTTTTATTTAAACAGTTAACAGACGTTTAGATGAATGGGTGGAAATCGACAAATTTGACCTGATTACTAAGATAGAGGATCCGCATAACAACAAAATGAAAGATGTCTCGATCATAATGACAGATCTTAGCGATGGCACTGACAGAAAGATCACACGAAATCAGAAACGTAAACATGATGAGATCAATCATGTTCAGAAGGTACTGTATTTTATTTTCAATTTTAGCTGATATGGCATGAGCTGCCTTTTAGTGAAGTTATATTATAGAATAATATGTTTTTGGGGAGCTTGTTTTTGTTGGTTTTAAAAAAAAAGGAAGAAAGGTAAAAATGCTAATTCATGGACGATTTCTTAAGTGGATAGGTATACTTATGTACATGTTCTTATTTTAGCATTTGTTGATGTGTGACTTTCTGGATTAAGAGTACTCACAAAACCAATGTGTAAAAAAATCTCACAAAAATTAACAATTTTACAGAACAATACGTCATCTCAAATTTATCATTCATCTTTCTGGCACCAAACATTTCTGCAAACAATTTCAAGGATTCTAAAGAGTTGTGCCAGTCCAGATTGATTATTTTACCAGCAAAATTAGAGAAGACTAGCTGCTTGTTAATTAATTGTCAAATTTAATGTGATTTATTGTGTGTAGATAGCAATGCTTTGAGAAGTGATCAATCTCAAATTTATTTTCATGAATCCTTTTCAACTTACTAAAACAATGGGTCCCACAATGTCAAGTTTAAGTATTCCCAGACATTCTATGAGTTCATCAAAATTCACTGAACACAGGACTTGAGACTCCCATGTAGATATGTCACTGTGATGTTGACATTCTGTATTGTAAAGTAAATATTATCCCCAAGCAAACCAAGTGTTTTTATTTCAACTTGTAAATAAATACTTTGTTACTGTTAGGAAACCTTACTGAAATTTTGATGTTATTTTATAAGTGCAGTTCACTATCCAAATACTGTAAGTTTGTATTTGGTTAGGAATAGAGGCATGATGAATATGGTAGTCAGTTGACATAGAGTTCAACAACAGATTAGAAGATATAAGTTTATTATGTCTTAAAGCATGGCACTGGATTAAAAATAACTTAAGTACATCAAGATTTGATATAGAAAATATTCTTTTAATTGAAATAGACCTATGCTGAAATGGATCCAACTACTGCTGCACTGGAGAAAGAACATGAAGCTGTAAGTAACATTTTACTTTTTATCAAAAAATGAAAATTTCTCATATAAGTTCTCCATAGAAAGAATTTGGTTTATTGGACAGTTGAAATATTGATATTTAAAATGAAAATAAAATCTCAGACTTAGTGCCATAAAGTCTCATCAATTCTTTGAATCCATGAATTTTGTGAGTATAGTTTTCAAAGTAATATTTCATTTGTTATAGTTTTGTTTTATTTGAACGATGATGTGCAGAAAATGAAATATGAAAAATGTGTTTTAAAAGAAAAACCTATCAACCTATGTTAAATTTGACTAGACAAGGGAGGTAGCCCTTTAAAAATGATTATTTCTTTGTTTGATGACTATTTGTCATAAAGTGACAGCTACAGATATGGAAATAAGCATTTGATCTCACAGTTTAGAGGAGTGCTAATTTTGCAATTACATGTATACACTTGAAATACTGTTTCACTAAAAAGATTTTACATAAATTAAATAAGGTCTGAAATGTTAGATATCAAAAGATAAAATATGTTACAGTATACTAGTTCAGAAATATTTTATATGGTGATTTAATAAGACCTTTGTGTATAAAATTATCCTCTGATCTTTCTTTATTAACAGATCACAAAAGTGAAATACATAGACAAGATTCAGATTGGTCGATATGAGATAGATGCTTGGTACTTCTCTCCCTATCCTGAAGAATATGGCAAACAGTCTAAGCTTTGGTTGTGTGAATATTGTCTGAAGTATATGAGACTGGAAAAGTCCTATAGATATCACCAGGTAAGAGATTTATCTAATTACATTTAATTTCCTGAAATAATCTCTTAATTTTATTTGTTTTGAAATTTCAAAATAGAAATATCAGAATATCAACTTTAGTTATTTTATAACAATTACGAAACAAGCTTTTAGCTTGTGTTAATCACACTTGTTAGCCCAAGATTCTTTTTGTTCTGATAGTCAGGACTTCTGAAAGCTTCCAAGCACTTCAGCATGGGATCATTAAATTGTTCCTCCAAGCATTTAAGAAAGTTAGTCCAATGCACCACTTGATTATAACACATGTAGATTTTATGACAGATCAGGGTTTTATTATAAGAATTATTAATGAAAGAAATCTTTCATTTTTGTGTTTTTAAGATGAAAGTAGAATAACACTATTTCTTAAAGACATGAGCCTATTAAATAAAAGCATATGGTTAAATTCTATAAATTCAGTCAAGCATTAAATAATTTACTTTATTTTTCTTTTTAGAGTCAATGCATTCATCGACATCCACCAGGCAAGGAGATATACAGAAAAGGAACCATATCTGTGTTTGAAGTTGATGGAAAAGACAGCAAGGTATAAACGGTACCCTTGTGTAATTGGTGATGTTTATTTACTTACACCATAACTTCATTACATCCCACAGACAGTACACTGTCTCTGGACATCAACTTAGATATGATTTTACTTTTAATTCTTGCTACAAGTTGATGGAGAACAACTTTCACTGTTGACATATTGAATATCACATGTTTTATTTAATCTAGAATCCTTAAACTTTCTGAAAGTTAGGACAGGATATTTCTATAGCTTTCTCAGTGCATAATTATGCCTGGTAAGTCATTAAGTTGTTTTCATTGTCCTCATCCCTATAAGTAGCATCTAAAAATATCTCACTTTTATTTATGACAAAGTATTATATAAGTGTTGAAGTTATTGAAAATAAAAATAAAGGAATATTTCTGAATTCCAGTTTTTCTATTGTAGATATATTGTCAGAATCTGTGCCTCCTTGCTAAATTATTCCTGGACCATAAAACACTATATTTCGATGTTGAGCCCTTCATGTTCTACATCCTCACAGAAGTGGACCGATACGGATGTCATCTTGTTGGTTATTTCTCAAAGGTAATTTTTAGTTCCACACACAGAGACCCATTGAAATGAATTTCTACTTCCAAAAAATGTTGCTTCATATTATTTGACTACCACTAAATTTGAACATTGTAACACATTTATCGATTCTATGAAATGAAAGAAACTGTATAAAATCAACAGAACTGCCAGTTATTAATTCCACAGAAATATATCCTGAATGGTTTGGGTTTTGTATTGCAATGACTGTGAAGGATACATGCCAGCTTAATATTTTGATATTGCATCTCACTTTCGAAAGAGCTCTTCATTACAAAATATATAAATAATGTATGATGTGTTTTGTGCATGACAATTTGCTGAAGAAAATAAATATTCTAAGAATACTGAAGAAATCCTAACTGGCCTGTAATTTCAGATAGGATTTAATTGATTTCAAAATATTTCAAAGAGAGTTAATTAACTTTGGCAGAAAGTGCAGGTGTAATGAAAACTTTTTTGGCATTTATAGTTCTTTTTAAACAAATTTTGTATTTATATTTCGTGCTGTTAAAGATTTTTTTTTGCTGCTTTCACAGGAAAAAGAATCTCCAGATGGTAACAATATTGCTTGCATTCTTACACTGCCACCATTCCAGAGAAAAGGATATGGCAAATTCCTCATTGCATTTAGTGAGTGATTTATTGGTAGTAATGCATAGTCAGGGCTAAATGACAAGTGATAATTATGGGATTCTTTTTCATTTGTTGTTGTTTAGGTCAGCATATAAATACTCAATGCCTACAGCCAGAAAATTCTTTGGTTCAATAACATGAATTTTCAGAAAATGATCTGATAGAATGTACAGGCTCATATTTTGTATGTAGGTTCCTATTGGTCCCTAGTTGTGCTCTTTTGATTTTGGGAATGTGACCATCTCTCATTGGACAGTTAAAGATTACTATTGCTACTTCTCAAATTTCATATAATTAAGAGGAAAGAAGAGAAAAGAATTTGAAAAATACAACTTTTATAGAGGAAATGAAAATCAAATGGAAAATGCCAAGATCCCTCAAGGATCTCTTGTCCTAAAAAAGGATGGTTTATTACTTTATATGACCTAGATAATTCAAAGGCAAAATTGGAAGTTTCTTTCACCACGACATTTCCTAAATGCCATTTCTAAGATATCCATTTCATTTGTACTGGTATATATTTGATAATATATTGTTTGTCATTCCATATGCATTGTTAATCACACACATGTAGAAAAGTTAGAAGGTCAACTCGGATCAGCTTTTCTGTCCATCTATCTGCTTGAACTCCTCCAAGATATTACTCGTAGGGTATTACTTTCAGAGTTATGCCCCTTTGTTGTATATTGTGCACATATCCTAAATACTCTCTGGTGTTATGCATAAGAATTGTCAAAACAGCAGTCTCTGATTGGTTAAAATGTTTTAGTCTGTAAAAATGGTAGTATTTTACCACCTAACCTTAAACTTGACTTGGATGCCATTGTATCTAAAACATTAGATTCTTGTTTGGTTGAAATATAGTCGTTATTGAAATATAGTCATTGCCAAATGATGCTTCTTTGTTTTGAAAAAAGGGAGGCTACTTATTAATTGTTAAGAATAAGAACCTATTTTTTTTGTTATCCTTGGGATGACAGCTCTGATTCCTTCTAATGTATTGCATTCCTTGATAGGTTATGAGCTATCAAAACTGGAAAGCACAGTCGGATCCCCAGAGAAGCCTCTTTCAGATTTGGGCAAGTTGAGCTACAGGAGCTACTGGTCTTGGGTCCTCCTTGAAATTCTACGAGATTTTCGAGGAACTTTGTCTATACGCGATCTGAGGTAAACACTGTAGTTTGACAGATATGTAAAAAAAATATGTATATATATAAATATAGATATACCTAAATTTTATTGATGAAAATAACTTATATTAACTTAAGATTTAGATAGGCATTCTCATTTCTTCTCTAAATACCTCTATATTATGATTTATAACTTCATTTCTTCTAACTTAATTTCTTGCAACAATTTTTTTCAGCAAAGAACAGTATAAAATCAGTAAAATTTGTGAGTTTTTTTCAACTTTGTTTTCTTTTTTCAGCTTACTTGAATACTTATTAGATTTTAGTATAATTCAATTTAGTAATTTAATAAAATAATTTGAAATTCAATCAGATATGGAATTATTTAAACACTAAGAATTTTGTATCTTATTACAGTCAAATGACCAGCATCACACAGCATGACATTATCGGTACACTGCAATCCTTGAATATGGTGAAGTACTGGAAGGGACAACATGTTATCTGTGTCACACCAAAGCTTGTTGAGGAACATTTAAAGAGTGCTCAGTACAAACGTCCAGTTCTCACGGTGGACTCTTCATGTCTGCGATGGGAACCTCCAAGAAAGATTCAGAAACTCCTGAAAAAATGATGAGATTAAAACAAGAGTTGCATAAGATGTCTAAAAGAAGTTTTAACATATAGAATCAACTCATTGATAATCTTTTGTTTGTTAATGAAAAGTGTTAAATAGATATATTTTTTTTTGACCTTTTAGGAAATTTGAAAGAGTACTTCTTTTATGTATCAGTCAGTGAGAAGGTGTTGTTATGAAAAAATTGCTGTTTGAAAATTGGGTGAAGTATGATTTCATTTAGTTACGCATTTATCAATAGACATTTCTATATCATTTCTTCAGTTTCAATAGCATTAGGAAAACATGTCAGTCAGTATATTTGAAGTGTAATTAGGATCAATAGTACTTTCCTATAATATGTAAATGAGGAAAACAAACATTACAGTAAACTTGGTATTTGAAAGAATAGGCTTGAGAAGGTCCTAGGTATATCAGTGTAACACAAAAGGTAGTTTTAGAACATTTTTATTAATTTTTACACTGAATAATGTTTATTTGGAAGACTGGGGCATCACACTTGTTTGAGTTTCAGAGTGGTATTTAAAGATAATTCCCCTGGTGGGAAATGACAATAATGTACATGTACTATCATCAAGATCTGCTTTAAGTATTTAAGTGTATTTGCTAAAACATGTATTTTAAAATCTGTGTTAAAATCCGTTCTTATATTCTATCACAACCAAACATCCAGATCAACATCAGACCTATATGTGGAAAGTTGTCTGTTGTCAATTAATATCAAAGTTCTGTTAACCATATGCAACTTTGGGAGATGGACATAAAGTCATTTACTGTGTGGTTGATATGGTCATGTATGTCCTCACATTGCATGGTAGCACAGAAAATACTCTCTCATTGCTTTTTGATAGTTTATACTAAATACATACATGTCACTGTAAAGTCATGTTTCTCTTAGATTTTTCCGAGATTAGACACTTCATTTTTTTCAGGCTTGATTCTTCTGTAAACTTTATTTTTATCTTGTTGAATCTGTGAAAAAATGATTTTTAAAAAAGTATTGACAGCTTAATACTGTAGTTGTGTAATGTCTGAAAAATCCTCTGCAAAATATGATTCAGTATGGTGAGGGTATATGATTTTGATTCCTGAAGATTAAGTGATAATCTACTGTTACCTTTGTTATCTTTGCCCAATAGTTTTGAAGATACTATCAGAGTATTCAGATGAATGGTGTTACATAAACTGACAACTGTAGCAAATATATTTCATGTCTGTAAGTTATCACAATCCAAACAGCAGTGTAAATGATTCTTGGTATGTCACACTGCTTTGTGTGTTTTGTTGTAAGACAGTATGTTAGCCTGACCATTATGTATGTATGCAGCAACTTTTATTTATATGTACTGTTGCAGATGTTGTTAAATAAAATTTAAGATTTTACAAAAATGTTGTTTTAAGTTCAGAATTAGGAAAATAATCATGCTAATGGGAGGGCAAACCCCAAAACGGTGGGCTATTCAAATCACCCTTTCTTGTGGTATATCAAAGTTTCTCGTCGGTCCATCTGTCTGTAAACAATTTTTGTTATCGCTATTTTAGAAGCACTTGACTGATTTCTATCAAATTTCATGTCGTTTCCCTTTCTATTTTTTGACTTCATAAAACGAGACTGCTGACAGTCACCTGAGATTTTTTTTTTTTTTTTATTTTTTTATTTTTCAAGAGTTTTTAATGTACATAACAATTACATCAACAAAACATCATCAAACATACAACATACGATATGCTCACTCACACATCACCATAATCTTGATTAAGTTGTATCATCATCATCATCATCATCATCATCATCATCATCACCACCATCATCGCCTGGCATTTTCATCAACACCCTTACTAACATCACAACACTACCCTTACACACCCACTCCTACACATACATCAATACTACACATAAAGATAAAGAGGAGAGAAAAAGAGAGAGAGAGAGAGAGAGAGAGAGAGAGAGAGAGAGGAGGGGGGAGAGGTGATCTGGGTTAGTAAAAATTGCAATAATCAGCGAAACAATAGGGACTCGAGTATAAAGAAAAATACCTGGTAAATAAATAAATAAATAAATACTATAAGGGTAAGCAAGGGGCCTGCTATACTGTAAAGACAGAGAATACTAAAATACGGTAAAACATACATGACAGTAAATGTATTTAAAGTTAAGAATTGGCCAATTCCAATAATTTTCTCCATTTTCTCCATTCCTCATTAAAACTTAACTGTGCCTGTTCACCTTTACTATTGGCAATATATTTCTGAAAGGTATAAAATTCCCTGACTGAATAAATAAGACTATATACACTTAAGGCTTTGTGTTGACATCTTGCCTTATATATGTAATATTTAATGATAATTAAGATTTCATTGTCAAGTTTGCTACTGATTAACTGATTTTTATTAGCAATGAAACCAAACAGAAAACTTATTTTATTGAAGGAAAATGGAATAAAAAGAGCCTCCAGCAAAACTTCTACACTTTCTAAAAATTTTTGAACTTCTGGACATTCCCACATAATATGAATAATTGTCTCCTTTTCTAAGTTACAGAATGTACAGTGTGGGTTATTCAGTAGTCGAATTTTAAACATGTATAAATTTGTTGTTAAGATGTGTTGAACCACTCTGTACTGAAACCATTGAAGTTTTGTATTTTTTGTTGCACGAAAACAATTTTTATAAATATCCCTCCAATTTAGAACATCAAATTCTAATATTTCTTCCCATCTTTTCCTCCCAGTAGAAATTATATCGTTTTTTACTAAAAGATTATATATATCTTTTGACCCATTTCCTTTTTTTACAAAACACTCAATACTACTTGGAATGGTTGGAAAAACTTGAGAGGTACATGTTCTTACAAAGTCAGATCTAGCTAAATATGACTTAACCACAGAGACTACACCATGGTATTCAAGGAAATTTGAATTTACATTATAAATTTGCTTAAAATCTTGAAAAGTGTAGAAAGTGCCAGTAGAAAAATCTTTGAATAAATCATTAACTATCATCACTCCCTTATCATACCATGTCTTGTAGAATATACTTGTCTTCCCTATCAACAAATCTTTATTATACCATAAAGGAGTTTTCCAAATATTTTTCTTAACATATTCTACCCCCACCCTTTCACTGAACCTCAACAGGGCTTTGAAAACATCACTCCAGAAATTATTTCTACAGATATTACAACATTTCTGAATGTAATCACTTCCACAGGAAGATAGCATATGTAGGTCAATATATGTTTGAAGAATTGCTTGCCATTTAGCAGATTTCTGGTGTAATCTTCTAATCCAGCCTAATTTCAGACTATCTATAAACAACTTTATATCTACCATTTTAAGTCCACCGTTATCAAAATTCTGGGTAACAATATCTCTCTTTACCTTGTCAGTTTTACTGTTCCATAAAAAGCTAAAAAGGATGGAATTGAGCTTATTCAAGAACTGGTTGTCTGGGTTTGGCAAAGACATAAATAAATGGTTAAACTGTGATATCATTAAAGATTTAATAAGATGAATTTTCCCAATTGGAGTCAGTGATCTCCTATTCCACATCTTAATGATAGATTTCAATTTAATTAATTTTTTATCATAGTTTAATTTTGGAATTTCATGAAGATTGACACTGAATTCAATTCCAAGAAGCGTGAATTTGACCTTTCCCCACTGTAATTTCAAGTCAGGTAACAAAGTATCTTCACTATATTTTTTACTTCCTATCCAGATCACTTGTGTTTTGTCAATATTTAGATTCAAACCAGAGAATTTTGCGAAAGCATTCAATTCTAAAATAGATTCTTTTAATGATATTTCAGAGCCATCTAATATAAGAGAGGTGTCGTCTGCATATTGTGAGATAAGAATTGGAATATTACTGATGTTTATACCCTTAATGTTTTTGTTATGTTTTAGTTTAATGGCCAAAATTTCAACACAGAGAATAAAGATATATGGCGCGATTGGATCACCTTGTCGACAGCCCCTTCTTATATTGATGGATGAAGATACATTACCACCTTGATTAACAAAAGCACTGACATTAGTATGAAAAACTTTTATCCATTTACGAATATCTGGACCAAAATTAAAGAATTTGAAAACCTTGTCAATAAATTTCCATGAAACGGAATCAAATGCTTTCTCAAAATCTATCATTAACAGCATTCCGGGAATATTTTTTTCCTCTACATGTTGCATAATGTCATATATTAATCTTGTGTTCTCCCCAATATAACGACCTGAGATAAAACCTGACTGATCCTCACTAATTAATGTGTCTAAAACTTTCTTAATTCTTCTAGCTATGGTTCCTGATGCAATTTTATATACTATATTCAACAATGTAATTGGTCGCCAATTCTTAAGAAATTGTCTAGACTTATCTCCCTTTGGAATACATACTATAACCCCCTGCCTTTGTGTTACCGATAACCTCCCTTTTTCATAACCCAAATTAATAGACCTTAAAATGAACCCCCCAAGATATTTCCAAAAACATTTAAAAAACTCGACAGTAAAACCATCCGTACCTGGGCTTTTATTATTTTTCATACACTTCAAAGTAATTGTTGCTTCCTCCAAAGTAATTTGCCCTTCTAAACTTTCTGAAACAGCGTTGTCTAATTTCAAAACATTACAACTATTTAAGAGATCATTTAAATTGACATCTTCTACACTTCTATTATCATCATATAATTTTTTGTAAAATGACCGTACTTCTTCAAGAATTTCATCTTGTCCAGTTAATGTGCCCTTATCCTCTGTTTCTAACTTGGGTATAATTTTGGAGGTAAAATTTCTGTTTTCTAGATTGAAAAAATATTTTGTTGGTTTTTCTCCTTCCTCTTGCCATCTCGCTCTAGATCTAACAATGCTACCTTTAATCCTATCTAATCTTATTTTTTCTAATTCCTTGTTCAAATGCTCTAATTTCTCTGTATCTACATGGTCTTGATCTTCAATGTTTTGTATTTCATTTCTTATACTTTTTTCAGCCATATTTTGTTGTTTTTTTCTGTGAGATGAATATGAAATTGTTTTGCCCCTGATTTCCATCAATAAAGTTTCTAGAAAAAGCTGGTCATCAATCATGAACTGTAAGTCTGTATCTGGGATATTCTCTATATTATTATGATTATAAATAGGAAGACAATATTGTGTTTTTATTTCCAAGATGGTCTGTTTTATTAGTTTTAAATAATCTTCATCATACAATAAAGAAGAATTGAATTTCCAAAATCCTCTACCACGTTTAAATTCATTAAATTTTAGATTAAGAAATGGAAAAGAGTGGTCTGATCTGTAACTCGGCTCAATGCAAGACTTATTTACACTAGATAATAAGTTTTCAGAGATAAGAAAAAAATCTAACCTTGATTGCTTCTGAGGATTTTTTTTCCTCCATGTGTATCTTTTACTATCTGGATTTACTTCCCTATAAATATCTACTAAAGAATAATTTTCAATGATTTCTAAAACCTTTTCTCTGGCCTTTGAATTATTAATATTTTTATAACTACTATCATAATCAAGATCCGGATTAAGAACTAAATTAAAATCACCACAAACAATATATTTGTCATTCCCAAATTCATCTAATGTATTAATTAAAGTATCATAAAAAAGTGGCGAGTCAGTGTTTGGACCATACAGTGTAATAAGTGTAATATCTGACCCCTCCATAACAATATCTAATGCTAAAAAATTTCCCGATTGGTCCTTCTTTTCCCTCTTAACCTTATATTCACCTGAGATTTTGACAATGAAAGTTTGCTATCACTATTTCCTGAGAAGTAGTGGATGGATCATTGCAAAAATTCCATTTGGAGGTTTCCTTTGATCCTAAGTTGTGCACGTTTGATTTTTGAATTAGAAAAAAAACCAACATATAAGACCAGTTGGCAACCATCTTGGATATTGACATAAATGGCAGGGGGTAACTCTATGTTGTTTTAAAATTATTTAATTTTTGTAATTTTTTTGTATTTTGTAAATGTTCCTAAAATTATATTAAGTGTTATATCTCAGATAAAATAAAAGTGAGGAGGGTTGGGTGTTAATCGATAAACAGTGAAAAAAACTTATCTACTCGGGTATGCCTTTGTTTCCAGAGGATATTTCAACACTGATGTATGTCTCTGATTCAAAACGTCCACGATACTGTTTAGTCCTGTGCATTGAAAGTAAAATATAGGCAGCTTATAATCTTAAGGAAATAATAACTATGGCTGGTCAACACAAAGGTCAAATTCATCATTTATTATACTACAGTTCACTTGTGACATTGCACACATAATCAGGTGTAGTAGGATTTAGCATAGCAGCAGGGATATACAAGTGCAACAACAAAGCAACAGAAATACACATAAAAAACAAAACAATAGTTGATGTATACATTCACACTCTCAAATATTTTAATTTAGTGAATTAAGCAAATAAATATATGTGATGAGAACACAGGTGAATCTTGGTGCTTTGATCTTCATTTGTTCTGTTGACTTTTCCCTCTTCTTTTCTCTTCTTTCTGTGCCTGTCAGCAATTTTATTTTTTCTAATCAGTAAAAAAAAATCAAAATGGCACAACTATCAACTAAATGAAACCAACATATGAAATTTGAAAGATATGGAAAAGAACCATCCAGTCTTCAGGAAATAGCAATAAACTACTACCATTGTCACAAATCAAAGATGACTGTCCGCTAATTTTGCTTTTTTGATCAATCCAAAGCTGAAAGTCAACTGGACCAAGATGAATCTTAATTTAAAATTGAAAAAAATATCCATCTAGTACTTTCTAAGAATAAGTCATAAGACGAATTACTCATGGCTGACAATAGACCATGGACTGACCACAGGTGCAGGGCTGGGATTAAGGACAATACTGTGCTGACATGGATGTGTCCTCATAAAAACTTTTAAACCCATTCACTGTAGAAAGTTCGCAGTGCACCTCCCACCCAAGTTAGAGTGAGGTAGCCACTGCTTACTATAAAAAGACCCAACTTCAAAATGACTTTGGCTGATCACAGAATGATACAATCCTGCAAACATCCAAAACAACCAATGAGATGGCAAATAAAACTGGTAGCAAATGTTTGTATGTATGACCTTTAAATGCTATCACTGATAAGCATTTCTGGAAGGTATTTCTTCATGTTTGAACTATGTAAATTTTCTGTCAGATTAAATATCTGAAAGAAGACAGTAAAGAGAACGAAACGTTTTAAATGACGTCAAAAATAAATAAAGAATATTGATTTTGATTTCAATTTGGATTTCTCAAACATCCTAAAATATTTCTGTCAATGTAAAATAACTTCTGGAAGTCAGTATCATAATTCTTCATATTGCATATAATAAAGACTGCATCAACAAAATTTTACAATGACAGGAAAACTGAAAACAGCAAAAAATATATAGCATATACAAATTAACATACTTTAAACAAATGAACGTGACAAAATACTTTTTGAAATAGTGTAGCACATCACATTTCATAACTTAATGAGATTATTTACAAGACCATGAAGAAAGAAACAAACTTTGACAACATAACACATTGTCTTGTCAAAAATGTACTTGTCCTCTTCTTCATTATAGTAATAACATAATAACAATCCTTGTCTGTTCCAACCCTACATGGAATACGTTCTTATCAATCAGTCTAAATAGTCCCCCTCCCACCATACATTTTCAACCCATAATACATGTCCCCCTCCCACCATACATTGTCAAGTCATAATACATATCCCCTCCCGCCAAACATTTTCAACCCATAACACATGTCCCCTCCCACCATACATTGTCAAGTCATAATACATGTCCCCTCCCACCATACATTTCAACTCATAACACATGTCCTCTCTCATCATATATTTTCAAGCCATAATAAATATGCCCCTCCCATCCTACATTGTCAAGTCATAACACGTCCCCTCCAACCATACATTGTCAAGTCATAATACATATCTCCTCACACCATACATTTCAATCCATAACACATGTCCTCTCTCATCATATATTTTCAAGCCATAATAAATATGCCCCTCCCACCATACATTTTCAACCCATAATACATGTCCCCCTCCCACCATACATTGTCAAGTCATAATACATGTCCCCTCCCACCATACATTTCAACTCATAACACATGTCCTCTCTCATCATATATTTTCAACCCATAATAAATGTCCCCCTCCCACCATACATTTTCAACCCATAACACATGTCACCTCCCACCATATATTGTCAAGTCATAATACACGTCCCCTCCCACCATACATTGTCAAGTCATAATACATATCTCCTCCCACCATACATTTCAATCCATAACACATGTCCTCTCTCATCATATATTTTCAACCCATAATAAATGTCACCCTCCCACCATACATTTTCAACCCATAATACATGTCACCTCCCACCATATATTGTCAAGTCATAATACACGTCCCCTCCCACCATACATTGTCAAGTCATAATACATATCTCCTCCCACCATACATTTCAACTCATAACACATGTCCTCTCTCATCATATATTTTCAACCCATAATAAATATGCCCCTCCCATCATACATTGTCAAGTCATAACACGTCCCCTCCAACCATACATTGTCAAGTCATAATACATATCTCCTCCCACCATACATTTCAATCCATAACACATGTCCTCTCTCATCATATATTTTCAACCCATAATAAATGTCCCCCTCCCACCATACATTTTCAACCCATAACACATGTCACCTCCCACCATATATTGTCAAGTCATAATACATGTCCCCTCCCACCATACATTGTAAAGTCATAATGCATATTCCCTCCCACCATACATTTCAACCCATAACACATTTCCTCTCTCACCATACATTGTCAAGACGTAATACATGTCCCCTCCCACCAAAAATTGTATAGTCATAATACATATTCCTTCATACCACATACTGTGTCCCCTACCACAAAACACTGCATCGCCTCTCCTACAGAAAAGACATTCTCTAATCAAAGATCTATTACATGTCTCTTACCATGAAACCTATAATTAGTCATAAGAATGTTTCTTTCTATTAAACTTCCCTCCACTTCTGAAATATTTGAAAACATTACATGTTCTCTGCCATGAAAAAAATGTTTGATAAGTGATAACACAAATGCCATTATATTCTGTAAATTTATGCAAAATGCCATGACATGCTGTCCAGTAATCACAAATATGCTTCTCGCAATATTCCCCACCATGACAAAATGTTCATTTTCACAACCATTTCACACACAAACACAAGTTAATTCTAACTTCTGACTAATAAATTTCAAGGTGTAAAAGGCCAACAGTGTTGATGTAAAAAATGTAAGAAATTAATGCAGAAAATGAATTGGTAAAGAACTGTACGAAATAAAGTGTTCAGAAAACAAAATGTATAACTATTTAAAAATTAGTCATCATATATAAACTGTAGTTAAATCTAGTCTTAAGAGAAGAAAGAAACTGTCTCTAAAAACATTATAACAAAAGAGGTCAACCATAGACATGAGGCCTAAGGAAAATATTTACAGTGATGTATCTGCAAATTGTCAATAGGGGCTGGCAAGGAAAGAATATTACTTTGAACAGAGGCAATAAGACCCTCACTACTCAAAACATGTGAAATAGTCCAGAAGGGTTCTTTAAGTATATTTTATGCATTACAACATTTAAAGAAAATAAACATGAATTAAATTCAAGTTTGCTTCAGCGTACTGTAAAATGATCAATTTACACAAGTTGTTATTCAAACAATTTTATATATGAAAATCATACAAGATGTATAAACAGTTAGTTAATATCAACTCTATGCAAATAAATGAATAATAATGCATATCACAATTTATAGAATCTAGATAATTTCATGAGATAGCTCTTATCAAAAGAGATTATGATCCAAAAAATCAAAAGACCTTTTTAATACAATACTGTAAACATACATCTTTTTATCATAACTGATATATCAAATGCACCACACTGCTAAATTTGGAGTCTGAAATGTTAAATAAAGTTAACATTAAAAATAATTAAAATAAAAAAAAAAAAAAAAAATCTACAAGACCAAGGATTAATTGTTCAACTACCATGCTTCATATTTGCTGTCATCCTTCTTGGTGATGAAAAATTCATCTTAATTTCAGTTAACTAATACATTAACTAATATATACATGCATGTAGCCTTAACCTCCAACCTTTTACTGAAATTTGGATAAAAATATATGTTAACATTTAAAACCTTCTATATGTCATAAAGATAGGTACATATAGTACATTATAATACCGTGTTGATATGGATTTATATTTCTTAAAAAAAAAAGATTATAGACAGACATAATATTTCAAAGTTTAGCTTCATAAATGTTTCATCATTTGGAAAAATTGAAAATTCAATGTATCAAAACCATGACTTATTTGAAATATTTGAAAAATTAGAAATCTAATAAACAGTACCATCACTTCAGTCTTTGTTTTCTCTGATGTCATAATGCAATTCTGTTGTGATGTCATAAAAGAAAGAATACCTATTGGAAGCATGCAGTTAATTACAACAATGCTTAACATAAAAGTTTGAATGTTTTGTTTATATCAAGTTCAATATAAACCATTGATGAAACTCAATGAATGGTGCCCAAAACAAAAATAGAATCCTGGGGACAGATCAATTCAATTTTATTGGAAAAGTTCTAAAATATATATTGTTAGAAAATTTAGCATAACAAATCTTTACTAATGTTACATTATAAGTCAGAGTGAAAATGATAAAAAGATACTTTGTAATACAATTTATCATTCTATTAAATAGCTAAGCAGAAAAAGATATTGTTTTTTTTTCTTATTTTACAGAAATAAAATCATTTGTTTAAGCAAATACAAGCAGTTTTATTTTCACATTATGGCACAAAATGATTAATGCAAATACATGTATTTGATTTCATGACACTTTTGATTCAAAGGGACATATTTTTCTTATCATATGTTTTAAAAGTTAATGACTTCACTTATTAAAATTAATAAGATTAAGACAGAAACAATGCACACCTGTTTCCTATTTGATATGATAAACCTTGTGATTATTTCAACACCCTTTGACATCAATTCAGATTAATGAGTCAAAACTACATTTATATGGGCTGTTTCAATATTTTCATATAAGTCTAAATTAATCTATGAAAGAAGAAAATATAAATGATTTTAAATGCCATAAATCACAAGTTTTTGAACATGTTACTCTCAGATCAGATCATTTCTTGTGAGACTGTTTAAAACTTCGTCAGCTTTCCATTGGGCATCATCATAAACTGTTATATAGAAATTTAACAATGATATCAATATAATATTTGTTCATTGCGTACTCCATTGTTCATTCCAGGTCCTGAAAGGCCACTGTAGTTCCGAGATGAACTGCTCATTGCTCTATTGGTCAGCACTAACTCCAATTCTTGGAAATCCCGCATTCGGCGAACGTCTTTGTCCTTTCTTACAATTGTATCAGGTAGTTTCCTGATTTTTTGTACCGATCTTCGATCAACACCAAGTTCTCTGCACATGAGATTCAGTAAAGATTCAAAACCCAGATTTGACCTTTCAAGTTCCACTTCAAGAAAGTCTCGCTCATCTGAATTTGCCAGTCTTATCTTCAGCACAATTTCTGAAACAGAAAACAGTAAACCACAGCTAAAATAATGTATAGATATACATGTTCAATATCACTTGTTACACAATGGTGTAAGTCAACAAACTTTCACTGTTTGTGTCCTTTGTTTGCTTAACATTATCTAGCAATAAACACAGGCCTAGTTAGTGATAAGCCTAACAATATCTACTGCTGTTCAGTTGTATTACAAACAAATGTTATTTCACTGTCCTACAATAAACCATCACTCGGATTTTAAGTTTAAATTTGTATGTTGGCCCCCTAGGCTTATCACAAAGTTTGTAAAGATACATAGTAACCAATCTTCTACAATTAGCATGATGCTACTTGAAGACGAACATGACACTGAAAGCCAAGCTTTAACTGATAGTACTGTAGTTTCAAATTTTCAATTTGGCTTATCCTGATTAGCATAATAATGTTAATTAATAATTTTTATTCAAAATCACATTGCACTGGTGACAAATGTAATTAAATGGTGCTGTGCAATACTTAATCCAAACCCCCCTCTGTTGTGAAAAAAAATTGAACAAAAGATAGGAGGGGAATTGAATTGTAAACATTCCCCCATTCAATGTGATGTCAGTAATTTCTTTGCTTTGAATATGATTAATTCAAATGCAAAGTTTACATTTTGTTTATACACTTTTTCACACAAAAGTTCACATTGTAGAAAAAATACCAGAGAGCAGGAATTATGTTTATCAGACACATGATAATGGTGTTGTTTATACATATACATAGACCAACAACTGCTACATCAAAGGCAATCAATTTTATCAACCTGAAAAGTATTTATAGAGGATACAAGGTCAGTATCTGAAAATATATGCTGTTCTTTATTGAGAGGGAGGAAGACAGACGTGGCAAGCCTTCGGTGAGCCACTTTTGTTTTTATGTCTCCTGGCAAAATTCAGTTTTACTTTTTGAGCCCTGACCATGCATTCTTAATTATACTGCGGCATTGAATGACAATGCAGAGTAGTGAAACTTGAATAGTTTGTTGTTGAATATGTGTTTGATATTAATGTTACAATTAATTAATCAAGATAACTTACACCCAAATAACTACTCTGCACAGGAAGATATTTCCAAATTCCAATGGATTTCATAGCAATTTTATGAATTTTCATAAATAGATTTATCTGTTACAACAAATCAAATCGATGATAAATAAATTGCCAAAAAAGTATTTCCAGTGAATTAATGCACATGCAAAATCACAACAGTTCTTCCATCACTGTTGAATATACTAAAAACATATGGTATATATGAATGTATAAAGTAGAATACAGTAACACTGACCAGAACGTCCTGACATAAAACCAATGTCTTATTGATAGCATATAATTTGGTTCCAGGAGAATCATAAGATTTCGCCATCAATTATAAGTAAGGATCAGTCAAAAACTACCTCCACGACTAAAAGTAAAATTCTGTACCATTTTCATCCAAACTGTTGTGTTGGTGGGGTCTTGATGCTGATTCTACAGTGGAAGTTGTTTGACCAGCTGATGTACCACCTCCGTAGCCAGGTTGTGTGTAAGGGAAGGGTGGATTAGCCAAATATCCTGGGGTGATTGGCAATTTAGATTGCTTTACCTCTGCTGTATCACCTGCTAATTACAGGAAGAAAATTTGATGATTCAAAACATGTTGTCTGACTTGACATATGCTAGTTAACATCAATTCGTAATCCTGCAATAATTATAAGAAATGCTGTGGAAATTCTTTTTTTCCATAATTAAGGTTTTGAGACAATGCTTTTACTTTGTTACCTTCTTGAAATCTAGCTACAAAAGATAAATAATAATTTACATATAGACATTAATTATGAATATTTAGGTTGGAGAATTGTCCTTGATATTATACAAGAGAACTGTCCCTTGTACCAAGGTGATAGAAAAAAACAAGGCATATAAAACAAAGCTAAAATACCAAATGTTTTGTAGTACTTGTAAATTAATCACAATATTTTTGAAAATACAGCAAAATCATAAAATGTCTTTCATGTCAATTATAAATTTTAAATGCAAATGATTATCAATTAGAATTATATCACAACAGCTGTTCCTGGTACATAATTTATGTCCTTAACATTAAATAACATTTCATAAAAAATGCAGTAAGCAGTTTATCCTCAGAATTGATTTTGACACTTGACATTTTATCAAGACAATATAGTCAGTAAGGTCAAATTTTGAAAATCAGCTTCTGCATCTGTTGAAGTAAACATGTGTCCAGGTAGTTCTTTTACCTCCAAGCATTTCTCTGATATCAGCATCACTTGAAAGATTAGCTGGGTATTCCCCTTCTTTGTTGGGTAGGTTGGGGTTAGCTCCCTTGGTGAGTAAATAGGCTACAACTGTCCGTTGATTACGCTTAGATGCCCAGTGTAGTGCAGTCCTGTAAAGTAGACAGATATTTTCATAATATCTACCATGACAAGAAGAAGTGCATGATATGCATTCTTAATCTTCTAAATTCAATATTCAAACAAAGTTGTGCGATTCATTTTTAGATCATGAGAGCTTTTATGCTTGGAATTGTAACTAATATGGATCATGCCCTTTTCATTACCTTTTCCTAAGGTTATCTGGTTGTTCCAGTGACTAAAACAGACCATTTCACTTTTTCAATATACAAGGTTAGGATTAAGGAATATTAACTTATTCATGCATGCTCTGAATATTAACACCTGGAGGTTGGATGACAAATTGTACCTGCTGCCTTGATTGACTATTGCAAGAACTTGAGACACAACTTAACTGAGTATCTTTATCTTTTCTAGACCTCAAAACGGTCTATTTTCCTTCCCAATGTCTCTACTGATTTTCAGGAAGTGAGGAAGATTATGGAGTTTTCCCCAAAGTCATAATAAACCAAAGACATCTACACTGTACTCTATGCTTGAGCTCCCTGTATTTGATTCAGCGATGAATGACATAATAAGCCTGGTGTCAGTATACTGTGAATTTGTGGGTCATAATAGAGTACGTTGTCCTGACATTTCAGCATAATGACAGTACAAAAACACACATCAGTCATGCATTATGAAGTGAAATGAGAGATATGGTTTTGATATGATTGTCCTTCTCATATCAAGGTTACTGGTTGTGTATATATTGTAAGGAAATAGCAAAAGAAGCTTGTTCATTTGTTAACATATTGTACAGAAATCGCTGAAATAATGAAATTCTGTCACAGTGACAGCACACTGTTAACAAAGCTATACACAAATCAGATTTACAGAATAAGCTACAATTTATATTTTTCTCCAGAACGGTAGCTAAATATATGAAAAAGAAAGCTTACTGTAGTCAGCTTTCTACTGTAATCATACTACTATAATACAATAACTAGCCTACAATAGGCTAATAGTCAGATTTCTATGGTAAAGTACTGTAGTCAAATTTCAACTATCGGCTACCGTTGTCAGAATTCAGCCAAATGGGTTCGATTGTTAACAAAGACAATGACGAATTATAATTAATTTTACATTAAAATATTTTGTTGGCTACATCAAACGCTTATGTTAGACGTTTTTCCGACATAGCCAGTTTAAATAAGTCCTACCATCCATTCATTCGATTTTGTGCATTGACATCTGTATTCTGTATCTCTAACAGTTTTCTGATAGATTCGATATCTCCAGTGCATGCACACTCCCGTAATTTCTCTTCAAATTCAATTGACGCGTCCATACCGCCTGACTTTTCAAACCGGAAATGTGTGTCTGCTTTTGGGGGAAGACTATACTATGAGTGTGTTTGAAAAGCGGGATAACAGAATCCGGAATACGTAAACGTCACTCAACACGACTATTCCCCACGCTCGTCAGACGAGGGGCCGTAATGGTTGATACATCGCTCGTTGACGAAATTAATTAATGGTCAGCTTCTCCTAGATCAATGAAATAAGTAAATTCCCATTCTACTTGTAATTGAACATTTTATACGATATCATGTTGAAATGACTGAACTATTGTCACTCAATGTGACATTACCAGGCTTGCAGTAGATTGACCAAGCTTTTCACAAAGCGGATGTCGTTGATAAGCAGAAGATGCTTACACTTTCGGAACACCTGGGTCCGTATTCATTTTTGTGCTCAAGCAGACTTTTTCTATAATTCGCCTAAATCAGAAAATAATACAAATATCAAATATAAACATTGAATATAACGCTGATTTGAATTCCTTTCATAATTTATTTCAAATCATTGGCAAAATCAGTCTTATTTACTTATTTTTAAATTTAACAAGACATAAAAAATCATGCTTGAACATGAGAACGGTTTCATGAATACAGACCCTGGTTTTATTCTCCTTTTCCCAGGATTCTTCGTGTTCTTTGTTCGAATTTTGCGCTGGTTTTCTTTTTATTATAATTATGTTAACGTGTTAGTAATTTCTTTTTGTATTTAAGAAGTACTTTTTCATACATTTCACGTTAAAGGCTAGTATATATAGTATACCGTTACAATAAGGAATAATCTGACAAAATGCAAAATAATTTCTTAAAGCGTATTTTTTTCTATGATACACTGCTTAAATGCACAAAAAGTCCCAACGAGTTGGAGAAGGGGAAAAGGTGAAAAATCGTCTCCAAAGACGACACCGTCCACTGAGCAATACAGATATGAAAATATCAACCGAGACATTGTTCATACTCCTTGTCAATGTTCCAACCTCATAATACTTTAACAGCGCTAGCTCTTTTATATTTGTACAGATGACATAACAATTGTTAGAAAGTTGGCACAACAGTTTATCTCCATTTAGGCCTCCAATACAAATAATGTGGTCCATTAAAAAAAAACTAACAGCAATCGCCTGTTGTGTTCAAGCAAATTATGAGTAAAAATTGCTAAGAATTATACAAAGTCCATTTTACCTCTTTCATGCTCCACAGAAATGAATACACTGTACTTTTTGCAGTAAACAGATCCTGCTTGATCAAGCACTGCAATTGTTTGCTCACAAACTTTGAGGTGAAGTTGAACGATGTAAGTATTATATATTATACGCCAGTGTTTGTTCTAATCTACGTAATGTAGATATAACATTGTCTATGAAGCATCTGTATCTATTCCATTGTCATCCAGTACAATTGAATTGGAACAACTAACTCCTAGGCATTCTGTACAGCTGACGGAACAATCAAGGCCGTGTTTGCGCCATGCGCATCTTTTTGTATCACAACCTTGTTTACAGGTACACCGAATGACCTTGAGCAAATACTGTGGGGCAGGTGGAAGTGATGAGCGGATTGTTGTCAATCTATCACCTTTCAATTGCCATCTCCATTCCTCTGGTTTGATTGAGCTCTGTCCGTGGACCCATTCTTGTACCTGCAGGTACACGCTTTATGTATGGAAGGTTACGGCATCTATTGTTGGCGGAATCGAGCGTACATGCACACTTGTTGTAGATGTAGCTGTCTTTTGAATAAAGCGACGATATCGCGTGCAATCCAGATATTCACTATAATTATGACTATCGACACGTCCACCATGAAGCGCTTTGATCAGTTCCTCGCCAGACTTAGTAAATTTTTCCTCGCAAACATTGTTTCTTTAAAACACATAGTATAAAGACAGAAGATATGGGCAAAATGATATCTTCTGCAGTGCGGCAGCTTTTTCAATAACGGGTAAGACTTTGGACAGTTGCTGGCCCAAAACTCGCCTTGTTTGTTTGATGTTCCAGATTTTGGTTTTACCCTTTGACGTCCTTTGTTGGTATCAGCGTGGTATAACAGAAGGACAAGAAGATCTGTATCTTCGCCGATGACGACTACATTTTTTGAGAAAGAACGCCTAACACCAGTAAGCACTATTAATTTGTCTGCATCGCCTTCTGAGTGAATTCTTTCAACTCCAATTCCAGCAAACTTCTCTCCAAGAAGTTCAGAAAATCTTGTTTATTTTCTTCGTTTGAAAGAAAACATTCTTTCTTTATTCGACAAGGCATGTCGTCTGTGAAATGTACCCTCTGGCTTGCAACACCTTTTGAGCGCTTCAGATGTGTGACTTTTTTCGTAGATGGTTTGTTTCCTTTTCCATATCCCTCAAACACGATCATGGATTCATTGTATCTTCTACGAACATATTCCAGGTAACTCTGACAAATTGCAGATAACGTATCTCCTCTTGACCACGGAATGCGTTGAAGTAACGACCCACTATCGAGGACGAATAACTGAGCAGACAGCAGTTTCCTCTACACCACAGATGCCCATTTCACATATCGCGTCTGCAAGTTGTGGTTTATTCGCTCCTCTTGGGAATCCATCATCATCGAACAATGAGGATGGTACTCTGCTGAGTTCGTATGAGAAGATCGTGGAAGCCTCTAATCCTGTAATCATCTTTGCTGCCGCTATAAGCCACCGAAACCGAAGCTGGGGATCCACTTGCACGATGTCGTTGTCGATCTTTACCCCCACTCTGGTATCCATGCTTGTAATTTGAAGAGACTTCTTGAAGATGAAGTCACGTATTTTCTGTTCTTTCATTGGTGATATGATCTAGTCACCTACTGCTCTTATTTCATCTGGATTAACTCCCTTTGAAACTACTACACCTGTTTCGATATTTCGAAGTGTTGCGTCATCAAAACGACTTATATTAAATATATTTTGATCCAGTTTAATTAAAATGTCATTCAATTTTGTGTTTATGCATTAATGTTCATTAGAACAACGACTTTACGTACAGGTAGTGTTATTTTCTTTTGACATAGTGCTCAAGCGACAATACTAGGCCGTAGCAGACGATTTTTTTCAATTAGCAATTTGAAAGCAATATTCGTCTTTTTAGAATAATAACTACCAAACAAACACAACAAAAGGGCATATTTACACTTACCACGTGTTTGCCGGGATTCTGTCATTTTTATGCGTCAGGTACAAGCATCGTCGCAACCGGATGTGCTCTGTTTTGCTTGTATGGAGGACCGTACGCGCTATATGAAATCGCCGAAAATTGGCAATGTTTGACAATGAATTAAACAACTTTCCCACATTTCGATTCTTTTGGACCTTTGGCACATAATTAATAAACATTCAATCTTTGAATTACAACAGGAATGATTTCAATTTTGCCTGATTAAAACATGTGACTGGACTAACATACACTTTCATCCGGCATCATGCGTTGTGTGCCCGTAAACAATTTAACATTTTCGACTTCTTCTCAAAAACTCATGATCCGATTTCAATGAAATTTCGCAGAAATTTCCCTGACTTAAGATGAACCAAAATTGTGAATTATACATTCTCCACTCACCCTTGCATTTTTTAGCATAACTTTGTAAGAATTATTAGTATAGGATGACAGATTTGATGGTATGCATGTATTGTCACTGGCTTACTATATTCAGTGTCACAATTTCTGTTTCATAACACTTCATAACTACCCTTTAATCATTATATTCAATTTTGCTTCTCAAGGTCAATGGACCTCTTATTGATGTTTGATACACACAGTTTTTCATGTACGGGTATGGAAAATACCAATCTAATTAGAGTTAGACTTAAACTTTCGCTCCTCTATGATACGTTACTATCGTATACTGTAGTGTATCGACAGAGAAGTTCGGGTGAGAAGCAGTGATATAAAACAACACATTTACAAACATTTTTCAGATGGATCACATTTTAATCGATGCTGTTAACACGTTACACTGAGAAAGAATCAACTTAACAATTTATCACTGAGAAACAATTTAACTGAAGCTATATTGCAAAATGCACTGATTGCAATAATATATTGCTTTTCCTTCTGAAATCAGTATCATGGTTATATATATATAAATAAATATATTGATAATGTTGGCGATTTGTCCACGTGACCGATCTTTGAATCCATGCCAAATGATTTAAATCCACTTGTTTTCATTTGAAATGAAGATGTTTCTCTTGCTGTACGTGTTTTCTTCCTTCTTCGTCAACACTACCATCTTGTTTGAGGAAAACTAGTTTAGGAATGCCGCTTACATGGTACATCTCGCTTATTGTAGGCTACAAAAGAGTTCATAATTGCACATAAATGACTTATGACTTAGACTCGAATTTTGAAGTTAACAAGAGGTCCATAGGGCCTTATTGCTCACCTGGACCTTACAGCCCAGCAATGTTATACAAGCCTATAGGATGGATATTTCAAATATTTCCAAATTAAAACCCGTTTGATGGGGCAAGACCATTCATTAAATTTTTATATCATTTCGATCTTTCTCTTTTGATTCCCAGTAAAAGTTTCTATGGTGATCGGGTTGGTATTTCAACTATAGAAAAAAAAATATGACCCAGAAATAATGTCTTTTGATGTGTGCCACACCCGAGTGCCAATTCTTACATAAATGTGTTTATCTCTTGACGCCAAGCAATTTTATACATATATGGTTATGGGGTTGGGATTTCAACAACGATATAAAAACAAGAATTAAGTCCAGAGGGGTTGGGCTACACCCAAGGGCCAGTACTTCAACTATAGGAAAAAATATGTGAATGTGAATTTTGAATGTGTTTATCCCTTGATCCCCAGCATTACCATATATGGTTCAGGGGTTAGGATCTCGGCTGTTCCACAGATATAACCATGAAACTGAATCCCTTGGAGTAGGGCTAGCCCCAGGGACATTTCTTACATTACAATTGTGTTCATCTCTTTATGCGAAGCAATGCTATACATAGTTATGGGATTGGGATCTAAACAGCTTAGCCCAAGATTCACCGCTTATACAAAATTGATTTCCCTTTATCAAAAGAAGCTTCTGAACAAATTTGGGTAAAATACAATCATTCCTACAGGAGGAGTAGGATTTTAAAGGACTTGCCAAATGACTTCTTTTGGGCCCCGCCCCCTCTCCCTCAGGCCCTTGGGGGCCTGGCCACACCATTTAAACAAATAATGTTCCCTTTCCCTTTTGGGCCAGGTGAGCTAATAAAAGAATAGACATAAAATCGATTTTGAATATCTGTTTTGATTAAATTGGAATTCTACTTCTGTACTTAGAGATTTTTTTGTCTAAATTTGGTCAGAATTATCGTTGGGTGAAGGGCAAGTTTTTTGACCTCGTCCTTTAAAAATATAAAAAACATTCTTCAAATATCTTTATTTGAACGACCAAATAATGAAAATGATAAATATATTAAGTATCTTAAATGAGGAGAAACAAGAAATTTGTGACTTTGGAAGTGGAAAATAATGTAAGATTATCTTTATCAAATGTCTTTATACTTTTGCAAATATTCGTGAAAATAATATGATACAAGATTTAGATTGGTTATGTCCTCTATATCTTTCTCTGGTGACGTCACAATGCATATCTTGTCATTACAAAATAACAAAAGATATGTATTGGGTATTGCAGTAGGCGTAGTATTTCTGGCGGCCCTAGAATGTTGGTATTACACGTGCATATGATAATATTGATGGTAATTTGTAATGGAGGAGTTCTTGGTTAACAAATTGACAACTCGTAATTTTGCATCATGATTTTGATTTTACGGAACTTCATTTCCTCTCAATAGTATGACACTGAGACTTATATGTAGCTTCAACTTATCCTCAGATCTAGTCATCATTCAGTACCAACCTTAATCGTCTGTAACATTTTAAATGGCACTGCACACCAGGGCATTTCTTTGAAGTATTTGTTGAAGTCGGCTTCATCTCCGTCAGAGCTAATAAACACGATTTCAACATCTTCATCTTTCTTTTCTCCGTAAACACCAGCCAAGACTGGAGTAAACTTTTTGCATGGCGGACACCAATGGGCAGAAAAGTATAGACCTGTGTAACAAATAACAGACTCTAAAATAATTCGATGTAGAATCATTTCAATATCCTTCCGAACAAGATATTATTTGTGATAACAAATAAGTACCATGATATAATACACGAACTAATAACTTACATATGGTCGATTTTCCTTTAAGTGCTTCCTCTATAGGAACGATATCATCGCCTTTCTGCAGTTCTTTTCCAAGTAGTTTTGTCAGATTTTCGATATCCATGTCTCTGGAAACCAACAGATTTATCTGTAAAAATAAACTTACAGAAATGTATGTCTTTATATTAAGATATATGAGATTAATGATATACTACAGTTATCTCACGAATTAAAAAGTGGTCATTGCATTTATCATTTGTCTCTAACTTTCCATCTTTAGTGCAAATTAAGTTATCATACACAACATGTAGATAAGTTTAGGGGAAGCGCTGTGTTGCATATCAAATTGTGTATGCCAATTTCTTTTGACCTTTGATTTTGCCTTCACAAATGACCTGGCATTTCGTGTCCGTTATGAGAAGTCTTTTTTCCCTCGATCATAGCATCTCTCCGGTTAAATTTTCATGACTTGTGTACGTCTTGTGTAGAACGTATTATTTCCATAAGATGTAGGTTACTATGACCTCATTCAACAACTTCTTGGGTCTATCTTATTTACCATGATTTCACATTGGGTATTGACTTTTCCAGGAACAATAAAGTTTTAGCCACGAACCAATATAATCTTACCTGTGTGTTATTTATAACACCTGTACAGACAACCATAAAAAAATCCAAAAGGTCCCTTGGGCCTGTGATATGACATACTTGGAGCCTCAAACCATGGGTGCACGACATAGTTCACTATTTCGTCAAAAAAGTTATCACAAACACTATCAAATGATCTTATTTTTAGTGCAATATCATCAGATGGTGGGCTATTCAAATCGCCATTCGTTCATGGTCCGTTGTCCGTCCAGAAACAGTTCTTGTTATCGCTGTTTCTTGAAAAGGACTTTATGGATCTTTTCAAATTCTACATATATCTACCCCTTGTTCATTTGTTGTGCCCGTTTGGTTTTGGGACTGATCGAAAAAAAATAACAGGCTTCCATCTTGGATTTTGACAAAGAAAGTATTTTATCGCTATTTCTTAAGAAGAGCTGAATGGATCTTTATCAGATTTCATATGAAGGTATCCACTGGTCCCTTGTTGTGCCTGTTTGATTTTGGGTCTGATCAGAAAAACAAAATGACTAACAGGTGGCCATCTAAATATTATTATCGCTATTTCTGCAAAGGGTGTTCAAATTTTGTATTATTAAGTATCGTTACATACACAAAAACAGTGACACACACGATTCTCCGAACCCAACCAAACATGATGACGAGCAATTATCAACCACAAATACAACATATGTGTACGTTTATTAAAGCTAATAAAATCCTGTTATTTATATCTCGCTAGTCCGAATTATTCTGACATTCTATGGAGTTTTTTTTATATATTGGCTTAGAGTTGGTCACGAAAAGTCGAGATATAACTCGGACTATTATCTCACTAACACTGAAACACATCGCTCTTAAAATACCGATATTCCAGATACTATACGTCGGAACAGACTGCTGAAAAGTGACCTATCTTTTACTACCTTATACTGCTTTATACACAGTTTGTGATACGAAACGTTCCAAAATTTAAGTGACTATTAAGCAGACAATTTAAGCCAAGTTGACCCAGCAGAATACCCATCTGTATCACATAGTTTTAGTAGAACGCATGTTTACACAGAATTGTTCTCAGCTAGATTAAAACTAAACAGTCCTTTCTGGGTTTAAAGCAACTTTTATTCAGTAATCATTAATCATAAAAAGCATGTTATTAGGGCTTTTCACCAAACGTCCTTATTTTCAATTCTACATAACATATCCAAAGATGATTTCAAAATGTCACGTCATTATTGAGATATTGACTTTTTCAACAAAGTTCAAGATCACGTCAGAATTTAGAGGGCATATTTCCAAAACTATTCCGTAACAATCAAACAAAATTTCATCTAAGGATCTTACAGTAATTCTAGTTCAAACTTTTTGTCTTTAAATTGAACTATGCGAATTTTAAGAAATGAAGGAATTCATCAAAGAAAGACGTCACAGAAATTCACTTTTAATTACAGGCTAAAATAGGTGAAAAGTCCGTCAAAATTGTCTATTAGGTCGATTTGCTGATGCCACTATACCAAGCGACCAGAGTAAAACATCACTTAGTTGATTTATAAATTAGCTTTACAATAAAACAAACGGGAAATTATTTTGTTTTATACTTAAAATTATACGTTGTCACTGTGGACAGTTTGCTGTTTTACATAAAATGTAGTGTTTAGCAAATAGTAACTGGTAATCATTTACTTACCGTGAAATCTGGCTGTCAGCAAGGTTGTCCGTAAGGTCGTAACTATGGTTAAAAACAACATACATAGCGAATCAATCACATTTAATATATTTCATATCAGCATTATATCGATCAGACATTCCACATCTCAAGAAATAGAAAACAGATATGAAGAATGGAGAAGAAGAGACAGAGAGAATTGAAAAGAAACTTGTATCAGTTTATACAAACACATTTCAAAGCATATCTAGCACCAAAGATAGCTCTACTGTAGTTTAATTTAGTTCTCAAAACAATCATGATGTCATCAAAATGACCAAAACTTATTTAACACCTTGAATAATCACCAGTGAATAAACCATGTGCAAATCATTTGGGAATCATTATACATGTAGTAACCCTTTCACAGGAAAACACATTGTGCAACTGAATAATATCCACCACGTAAGTTCACTTTTTATCTTCCCAACCACCTCCACCATTTCAGTGCATCACGGCTGTGCTTCAGTTAATTATTGGGAACATCTGTTGTCTACTCTCCTTGTTATCGCCAACTTGATAGAGTAGCCTTTGCTTAATGACCACAATGAACTTTGTTGAATATGTAGTTCTGTGATCCTTTCACACTTCTGTGTCCGAGCACACAGCAGTGTCAAATATAAAGCAGGTGAACTTTTACATTTAGAAGATATTTCGAAATTACTCTGTCCGTTAGCTCCGAATTTCTATAAAAAAAATTTTACTAGGTAAAAAATCTGACGCTGCTGAACTTCCAACCCTTGTTACTTACCGAGATAAAAATAAACTAGTTTTATTCGGTTGAGTGATCACTGGTCGTGTTAGTTATGTTATAAGGAAGATATGGGTGTATATATATATATTTCCTTTTTGAAGCTTAACTAAAAAAAAAAAAAAAAGAGAAGAAATATACAATATCTTTCTTATATTATATTGTCACCGGGGTGTGCTTGGGTATATATATATATAGATACAAATCACTCTGATTTCAAATTTGTTCGATGATTTATTTCTGAAGGGAAAAAGAACCTGAAAAGACAAGACAAACATTTAGACTCCAAGCCTCTTTCGAAACAAACACTCACCAATCACGAACGCGCCGGATACAATCAACTTCCACAGCATTGTCAACTTACCAGGCTTCACTGGCCCCGCACCATACGAAGTGATACGTATAGTATATGTGTATGATATATGATCTTGCTGGACCGCTCGCGCTGACGTCCAGCAGTAGAGTGCCAGGACAGAGAGAGACAGATAGAAAGAAAACCAAAGCAAGTGACGTAAACAGGTGTGGAGAACGCAATTAGCATGCAGTACAAATGCAGGTGTTACGAGTGCTGAGTTGCGTTCACGTTGAAGTCCATGTCACGTCGGACTAGTTCGGCCACATACCACACATTCCACTGGACAATACATGAGACGTAAACAACATGTCACGTGTACATATACTTAGTAACGTCACGTGCACATTCACAAAACAGTAACAAGGACATTTACAATATGATACCTGAGTATGCATCTATGCTACATTGTTATTAAAATACCACATGTGGACACATGGGTTACAATATATTAGATGTTGTCTATGTACCGCCCAGTCCGATATAAATGTATGTAAGGTCACACTAAATGAGAAACAGACTGGCCTACATACAGCCTAAAACTAGACTATACATGCTATGGTGTGTGTCGGTGCGTATATATATAACATGATATCATATCTGAAGAACGTCGCCAGAGAATCGACGGGCGGAATCACGGAGACGAAAAACTGCCAACAACAACAACAACAACAACAATATCTGAAGTATCGTGTGCAAAATTGTACTGCAGTATGTTTATTCTCCAACTGAATACCGGTATTATGTATACCTACATTTCTTTTGAAATCAAAAGCACTCTTATTTCCTCTCCAGTTGCTGATCATCGTCACAAATCGATCAGGGAAAAGCATTACGGTTAGTACGTACTTTGTAGTAATTTAAAAAAAACCCACACATTTTTCACTTTAACGTTTAAGAACTGCATGTAAATACCTTATTTGATTTAACAAACAAAATGTATTAAGCCAGAGAAATATCGCTTACCGTAGGATTCAGCTGTCAGGATATGGGGTACATACAGGTTCTGACGTACCGTAACTATGGTGAAAAATATCCAAACAGTTATCGACATACGGCGAAATAATATACAGCTCCAAAGAAAATTATGGGTTATCTCCCTTCCGTACCGCCATTAACACGAGAGTCCGCCTGGAACGCCATCAATAATCACTTCAATATCGGATTGCAACTCTAATACATACCGAGTGCACCAGTTCCCTTTAGGATGACTAAAACAATTATCAAGCTTTATCATAAGTCCTTTAAGATGAACAGCTAATGAAAAAGTATTGTCATTTTTTTTAAGTTTCGAAGCGTGGTCGAAGCATAAAACTAGCGAAATGCAGCCATTTTCGTATGCCCCTGCGCTTCGAATGCCCTCTATTTTTAAAACGAAATCGCCAATCAACTAGTTCCTGTTCAGGAATCACCATAATATATCTAAGATTGGCCAATTAAATTTATCTTGGTATATCGGTGAAAATAAGAAATGTAAGTACAGACTAAAAACATGAAAAAAAGAAAGAAATAGGGCATCATGTAAAATACATTAATGAAATACCTAAACTTATCATTATATGTGTTTCAAAAGTTCATGAAATTTATAGACTTTATTTTATGAAATACAATATATAAATACAAAAGGCCCAAATGGCCTGCACTGAAAACTTCACTTAAATCAATAATACAAGAGACCACTCCATTTGAGTGTGATCCATCCAGTACTTTTTAAGAAATACTTCATGGCAGTAACAAGCTTTGTTTAAAGATAGAAAGACAGGCGATGGACCACAAAGAGCAATTTAAATCTAAATTCAATTAATGTACAAAAATAAAAATGTCTTATGAAAAGCTGACTTGACGAAAAAGTTTGAACAAAGTCTTTATACCTGTTGATTGAAATTACAGAATGTAAGTGGCATAACCATTTTAAGTCTTCAAACTCCAAGGATATGTAGTCATCATTTTATAAACATCATCACATGGGACCAACGCACAAATTTATCGCAAAAACATTCTTAGTTAAAATAAATTCTGGCACTTTTAGTGGCAGAAATCAGAATGCTGGCCAATATTTCCTCAAACTCTACTTTTAGATCAGGATTACTATAAATGTGGGAGGAAGGAGAGAGGATATATGTCACAAACCTGGTCTATGTGAAATGTTGATCAAGGAGCTAGACTTGGTTACTTTGAGAGTCCGATGAAGGGAAAAACCAAAAAGAAAACTTTATTCTCGATGATAATGAAACCTTTGTTTGAAGATATACCTCTGACAGACATTGTTGTTGACAATCTACATACGTTTTTCCCCAGAAATGACAAAGCACTATTACAATTTTCTACTTCTGTTCTATGTAATTTAGACTGACGAGATTTACCGTAGTCTTGAAATGACTTTCTTTTTCCTCTTGTAGAACTTGTACATCTATTGGCATTTTTAATCAGTAAAGTTTTGTCATACAAAAGCACCTTGTTTTTCTCTACTTTATCACTCAGCCCCCTATTTTCATTTTGTAAAAAAGTTACATTTTCAGCTAATGTGTTGTTTCAATTTATCAATTTCTGATTTTCCTCTTCCATTATCTCCATCTCTTTTTGCATACTGTGATGCTCTATTCCTACTTTCCAGTTGTAAGATGATATTTTTCAAATTTTCTACAACTCATTGTACTGTCTTCCACCTTTTTTAAAATGTCTTTAGTCCTTTTTGTTTCAATTTGTGAAGCAAAGTTTTCAAATTCTGAATTTGTTGAGTGTCAACGTTAAATGAAACATTAAGTTGATCTTCAAGAATCTGAATAAACTGAAAAATTTCATCAGATATAGACCGACTCCAAAAATTGGATTTTAGAATATAAAAAAAGAGTGTATCTGCTGATATACATCTGGATACAGCTGACCTGTTGACAATGTCAGGTAAGATCACAATACATCTGCATTTTGTAGAACTGATAGTCTGGAAGCATTTCCAGCTCACAACAAATGTTAAAATCAAACAAGCTCCCCTGTCTACGTCTGATTCTTGTTTGTGATCAGGGTATAATATATATTCCTTGAATGGTTTTCTTCTGCAAAGCCAAAATTTGACAGTAACTGTTTTCACAAAATAACTGTCACCCAGTTCAATTCTGTAGTCCCATCCAACTCTCAAAAGTTTCTTCATGTCCTGTTGATTTTTGATATTATAAACAACAAAATATGCACCATATGAGTGGAGATAAAATATAGCAATGACCAACTTCAACTGTCATAATCCCAGATGGGCAAATGTTGGTAATTTTACTTTCTCAATCATCTTCAAATTGAACAGGCAATGCTGGTGTTGACAAACCTACATATCAATTTGAGAAATATCTTTCTGGTATTTCTCGAGAAGTAGCTATGATACACATTGTTTCTGGACAGACAAGTTACTGCAGAATAAGATGAAGGTTGCCAAAAAATTGAAACCATCCACTGATGATAGTTGGAAAAAATGCCAGTCAGATTTGGACTCTGAAATACAGAATAGTTTGAAAGCCATTAAACTGTCGAAGCTCATGTCACTTGCCTACTGCCTTTAAAGAGTAAAAATTTTTGAAGAGAGGCCTGACAGATGTCGGGACAGACATTGTAAGTATGGGACATCTATGTTATGACATCATTATTCAAAGAAATCAACAACAAAACATACAATATTTCAAATCTGAAATTTAATAAATATGAAGCAGTTGTGTAAAAAATTTCAATTAATTTATAAAAAAAACTGCAACACATTTTCATCAGAGTAATATAAATGGATTGTAACACTTGGCTAGTGAAGTTATGTAAAACAGATGAAGTACTACCAATAACAGGGTTCAATCTAAATGATTTTACTTCTGTAAGAATAATTTTGAAATTTGAAATGTTATCAAGAATCAACATGTACCTGACTGTTGATTTTCTTTTTTTTTTTTTTTTTAACTTTTCATCATGGTCAATTCCTGTTATCCCGAATCAATGTAAAATAATTTTACAAAAGTAAATAATTTTTAGTATACACTTACTGCAAGTTGTTTGTAAAGAGAATTTTCAATTGTAGAAGCTATTGATGCCAGGTCCTATAGTATTTAGGCCGGCCAGTCAGTTTATACATGTAACTTGGAGCAATCATGACATTGGAATGGAACCAAAAATATTGGAATGGGCATCTTGTTATAACCATAAACATCAAAGGGACAAATTCACAATGTGCTTTTGTGGTGACCTTTACTTATATTGTTATGATTTATATCAACATTATGATAATGAGCCTTATAACAGCTACAACCTCTGATCATGAAGAATAAAAAGTATTAATGTACATATACATATAATTATTTACTATTTTTCTAAAGCATAATGATACAAACAATTAGATGCGTGTATCCATTTTAATTTGGTGACTGAATAGAACAAACTTATTGAAATACCAATGTAATGGATTTTCACTTTTTCTTTAGTCTCATCCTCTATTGTGACCTGCCATATTCTGTTGTCTCTGTTACTAGTTCTGCGATGGACAGCTGGTAGGGAAGAGTTTGCAAGTTCACTGTAAAAAACTATGTTGGTGTATTCAAAATTGTTCTCTTTTGATCTAAATGCCCCCTCCACGTCTGGATGTTTCCAATTTCCAAACCACTCCTTAGGGGAACTCAATTACATACAATGACCTAATATTATGAGGACCTGTGATAATATATATTGTATACTTGACAGAAACCATGGTTCATACAAACTTTCCGAGACAAAATTCAAGGACTTTTCAAGGCCCTATTCACCTTTTTCAAGGCTTTTTGTTAAGAAATATTAAGTACATTTTACAATGACAAATGCAGAAAACATAACAATATGTATACTGATTTCAGATATTTTAATAAAGGTCAGAGGTGTCTTAGGGTCATCATTTATATTCAACTGTATTATACAGCTACATATGGTGTACTATACCAAATCAAGTCTTTAAGAGCATTCACTTTGCTTTCAATCAAGTGAGTTAAGTTTTTTGCACTTTTCAACCTTTTCCTTTGCACTCCTGCGAAGGGAATTAGAATGAGACAAGTGAGTGAGATTGCCTTCTACCTCACCTCTTTGAGAAAATGTATCTGCTGATTTCAACAGTGACTCCTGGTCTTTAGTTTCTTTCTAAGATTGCTTATTTCTTCTTCCAAAGCCTCACACTTTCTTCCCTGTTGATCAGTTTTTTTCATGTCTCTTTGTTCTGCCAGGTATAAATCATACTTCTGTCTGGCTGCTCTAGCACTGGACAGTAGTTCTTTGGTAAGAGGGACATTTAAGACCCCATCCACTTCACTCACATAGTCGTTCTTTGGTAAGAGGGACATTTAAGACCCCATCCACTTCACTCACAT